TGCGGACACCGGCATCGCTGTCCCGCAGACCGGCTTCGATGACGGGCCACACTGAATTCAGCAGCGGCGTCATGAACTCACTGCAACCCTCAGACACAATTCCGAGAGCGAGCATGGCACCCACGACGGTTGTTGGATCGGGAGAGGAGAAGTATTCGGTGATAAGGTTTCGGAGGGAGGGAAAACTTGCGAAGGGGGGAGGCCAGTGCTAGGCCGTCAATGATACGGAGAGGCAGACTGTCTGCGATCAGGCGCGATAACAGAGAGCACGGCAGTAACTTACCCGAGAAGGAGCATCGTCGTCGATGTCTTCGGGCTCGGCCTCCGTGGTGATGGCATGAGACCTTGCAGGATGGCACCGGCAAGGTTGTTGGACTGGATCTTGGACTTCTTGCTGCTGTAGTACCCGTCAGTTGGGAGTGCGAGTATTTGGGGATGGAGGACTGACTAGACAATGGTCCAGTCAGCGCATTGCGCGCGAGAACGCGCAGTCAGTCTCGTAACTGCGGTTGGCACCCAGCCGCAACAGGAACTCTGCCAATTCGGGGATGTGTTTTCCGAGGACAGGCACTTCCTACGGAAATTAGATTGAGAACGACGCAATCTGGAAGAAGCGGAACATACCAGGATCACAGCGTTTCGAGGACGTCAAACAGTTGTGTCGCCCCAGTTTCATTACCGGACTCAACGCTCTGTCCGATAACTTGCATGATGGCAGGTAGACATGCTTGGAAGGCTTTCTGGAACGCGCTGTTGGTGATGCACTCAAGGCAAGATACTGGGGCAACGAACCACTTCGGCCTTGTCCTCAACGTCAATGTAGCTCGCGATCACGCCCAAAGCCCTAAAGGGTACATCAGATGCAACAGAAGACAAAAAGACAGAGAGTACTCACCGAACAGTGGTGATCCGGACCTCGATGCTCTCGGGATCCGCGAGAAGTTGTGAGAATAATGTGAAGAACTCGAGAAGATGATCCTTGAAATCGCCTCGACGATGTTATCAAGTACCGTGTAAAGCATGAAGATGCCGATTCCCGTTGCAGCACTTGCTGGGAGACACAGGTGGGTGAGGAAGCCCAGGAGTTCGGGCCATGTACCGAGCGGGATCTCGATGTTAGCGATGGCAGCAATGACACGAGCGACAGAGTGTCGAACAAGGTGACTGTGAAAAGATCAGAAACGTGGGGTCATGCGTGATGAGAAAAACGCACTCCGGATCAGTGAGCACGATTTGTAGTAGCTTGCCCTTATTTCCTACGATCGGTCCGATTGTCCGAGCTGGGTCCACAGAGCACTGCTGTTTTGGCTGACCCGCTTTCGCATCTCAACGGCAGCGAGCTGGCGGACCTGGATCGATAAGTTAGACCCAGATCAACGCGTCGATGGCGAGAGATGGATTACAGGTTGGGTCGCGGCGCTGGACATGATCGAAGCGAGGGCGGGGATGCATGCCGGGTTTTTGTAGTACTCAAGGTTGAGCTGGGCCGTCGCCTACACGAGACAAAAGAGGGTGAGGTTGGGATCAAGCTCACGGAAGAGTTTCCATACGGATTTCAATAGATTTGTGTCTCCGGCAGTAGCCTGCTGGAGAAGGTCGTGAAGCCCTTGAACAAAATTGGACTGCGCAATGAGGTCTATGCGATCGGGGTGAATACGATACGCTCACCATGACAGGCGGAAGGAGGAAGGGAGGAGGGAGGTCGGAAGGAATATGGAATAAGATGAAGAGATGGGCGGAGTTTCAATTTCAACTTTTTCAGTCGCATAAAAATTTCGGCCTCGACACAGCCACCAATCATGCACGTGCTACGCGTTTGCACCGCCACCAATTGATGCCAATCATTGACAGCGACGGATAACTTCTCCGTTTAGACGGTGAAGTCATTCGAGCTCGCTTGCAATCTCAACACATTCGCGAAAGTTTTCTGGCATCTGCCTGCTTCAAACATCTCCCACGGCTGCTGGCGCTTCGTTGACGGAACCAACGGGATCATGCCACCTGCTTCAGAAATTCTTTATCCTTTTCATTGTCATGGACTTGGTTCTGTCCAAGAAGCGACATTGTTCCAAGCGCCCCAGATGTCATATAAAAAGCAGACGATCACTGTCTCTTGCTTTCTCCAGCTGCCTCTCTTCTACCTAAGGCTCCTATTGATCCCAAATGGCGACTTCTCCGCAAGCACCCCATGTCAGGTTCGCCAGCTTGTCTCCTGCGTGACTCAACGATTCACCAGAAAAAGCTTCAGAATCCGTAGCCAGATCAAGCCAAATCCTCTCACTTCGCATAATAGTCCCATCCGCAACAGTCCCATCCGCAAAGTGCTCCTGGACAGCAGCACGCGCCGGTCGCGCAAATCCATGAAGCGAAAGCTAGTTCTGTTTTGGAAACGTCTCACTGCACCGAAACAGGCCCGACGGTCACTCAGGTTCTCCTACATGCCAGCTGATTTTGTCCTGGCCTCGAAGACCTCGATTTCACAAACTGAATGAATGCGATTTGAATCGGAATCGGTTACTTGTAAATATATACCCGTGTATCAAAAGACATCCCTCGCGGTGGCAATTCGCCTTCATGCTCTATACTCACACGGAGTATATTTACGTTTGGTTGAGGATGAGTTGTGGCGTCTGACCGAGTCCCGACTCGAATCAAGACAATCATGATTTGATGATTCGAAAGATCCATTTGTCGGTTCCGTACATATTCCTTCTTAGCTCGTGTTTGCAAACTGCCGCTCAAGTCATCTCCTTACGCACGTCTCAAAGCGTCCCAATCGTCGGAATCCGCTTCATCCTCAGCTTCGATTCGGGATTGGCTTGCATCCACATCAGCGTCGACGTCCGCCCACACGATGGACAATGAGGAGTCGATATTCCAATCAAAAACCACCTTCGAGTCATGGCCCCCATCTGAGGACTGGGAGGGTGCCATGGACTATGCGCGGGATGTATTGATGAAAGGAAAAGTCAGCCACCGAGTGCGGTTTTTAAACGAGCAGGTTTTCACGTTGTGTGCTGGTGGTGCGTTGCGTTCCCTGTTGCGCCTTCGTCGTGCTCAAAGATGCCGACGAAGACTCTCTGGGACCCAGAGAAGAGGCCGATATACTACTTCTTCTTACGACAATCTCTCCTCGGTACAACGACGTTGAATCTCGAGCCGCCGTCGAGCGCGTTGCACTAGCACTTGTGCGCCGCGATTCGACGGACGATGTGGCAAACCATATCATCAGGTGGCTTGGAGCACAGACTGAGCATACTGTCGTGCCCAGCGATCTCTTCGCTCTTGTTTCGTGGTCGTGCGCCCTTCTACCTGTGGTTGTCGATAAGCCTTCGCTGAACGATCTGGTCCGAGTGCTGGCCGGGCTTTTGGACACTATGCTGGGTTCGGAACGTGCAAAACCAGCTATGCGTATTGGTGTGATTACACGTGTCAGACGGACGTTACGAGGTGTGAGTGGAGGAGACTGGACTCCTGATGATATCTATACCGATCCCTTGCAGGTATCCAATGACCTTCCCCGTATCATACAACTCCTCCTCGATATGCGCGCTATTCCCTTCCTCGGTATCGCGATCGATGTTGTCGTCCATCTCAGGACCCCTGCCCCACTTCCCTCGGAGCTCCAGGCCGCTGTTCTAGAATTCTATTGCGAATCAATCATCGAGTCCAGGGTCGCGCTACCTACCCACGTTCTTGTATGCGCGCTATGTCGGAGCTCGGTGCTGATCTGACTCATGCCATTAGAAAGCATTGGATCTGTTCGTCGGAACTTACGTGGATGAAAAAGCTTTCGAGAGCGTGGTCATGCCAGCACTAGAACGGGCTCTTTCAAGGAGTCTCACTGTTGGTCAGTCTCTGGTACTTTCAAGTTCTCTTAATGTGAAACATACCAATCCATGTTCAGGCCCCGGGCGTTTCTCGGCGCCTACTCCGGGCTTGTGCCGTTCTCGGCGTTCCACAAGCTGACGTCTCTTGTTCTGTCGCTATCCCGCGGCGTCAAGGACGCACCCTCCGTGAAAGACGTGGTCGGACTTTTCAAAGTCATCCTTGCGCGCCTCCCGCCAGACGAAGAGTTAAACAAAACCATCGAGGAATTGGTTGCGCTGCCCAAAACGCGGAAAACCGCAAGCGGCTGGCATCGTGCAGCGTTGTATGGCATGCTAGTCGAGTGTCGGTCTGTCTCTGTATCAGACGATCTCGTGCTTACCCTCGCGGGCCTTCTGGCATCTGAAACCGCACCGGAAGCAGCTGAGCCACTGGGGCTGGTTCTCGAACGAGCACTACTGATCCAACTGTCGTCCTCATCTCCGATAAAAGCTATCTCGGATACCGTCGCCAAGGGCTTGACCACCAAATCGGGACCTGCCGCGGTCCGCAAAGCATGGTGGACAGTCGCTGGAGGTGTCATTTGGAATGCACCATCCAACTACGAACCTTTCGCGCTACCATTGCTCCCGGTGCTCGATGCTGCGATCGGAGCTGTCGGAAACGGGGTGAGTGCGAAAGAGGATGTTCTCTGGGAGGGCTGTATTGCTGCCGCTTGCGCATTGCGGCTGGGGGAGGCGAAAACAACCGCCCACGTCAAAACTTTGTTAGCGCCAGCCGGCGACAAGCCTGTGTGGCTATTCAATGAGCGCGTCTATACACGCGTCGAAGATGGTCTATGGTATGTCCGCGCCTTGCAGAGTGTCTGGTCGGTCTCCAAGTGAGTCTATCTTATCGCATCTAATCAATTTAATCTCATCTACATGTGATCAGATCACGCACCCGTCTTGGTCCGCCTCTGCTCCACTTCGCACTACGCCCCGATAAAACAGTGCGCGCATTGGTCCTCGACGTCTTGCGAAATAACAACAAGGCGGGGTCCGGAGCTGTTGTCCGCGCGGGGGTGCTGGCCTACGTGACCAAGCCGCGTGAAGCTGGCTTCGAAGGCCGACTGGCGTCATTTCTCGATGCGGGATTGCACGAGAACGAAGACGAGATTGTCCAGGCCGCAGTTCTATGCCACCATATCCTGACTAGTGCGTATTGTCTCATGTGCTTTCCTTTTCTTAACCGTCACTAGACCCTCGAAACAAGCAAACCTGGATCGAAATCTGTCAGAGGTCGAGTTTGGACCCACGGGATGTAGTAGTCAGGAACTGGGATGCACTGATGAAGATCCTGCTGGATGCCACAGACGAGGATGTCAAGGTACGTCCAATCATAGTACGTTACTGGTCATTCACCGCTTCTGTAGACTGGACTGCCAGAAGCAGCATACGCAACTGCGACGACACTCGTATTTGTTGCTCCAGACATCGCACTGCCCAAAATTGTCGCACAGCTCGAGTCGGATCTCGATGCCGCCACAGTCAGGGGACTGACGGCTGAGGAACTCGGGATGTGGAGAACGGAGGAAGGTGTCACTTTTGTTGACGGTTTGCTATTTCCGCATTTGCTGTCCCCACTCTGACTTCGATCGACTGGTAGTGCTTGCCTCTACGAAAACGACCACCAAAGCACCCCAAAAAGGGAAAGATGCCGAGATCGCTCGCTGGGAAGCGGAAGTGCGCGAGAGCCAGCTGAAAAAGACAACCACCCTGAACAAAGCGCAACAAGCCCTGATTCAGACACAACTTGCCCTGGAATTGACCGTCCGCAAACGAGTCTCGCGCATCCAACAGAACATACTGCGCGCCCTGGCTTTGATTCGGAGCATTGTTTCTGCGAGCGTCCCCGAGTTCCGGTTGTACATATCCCAGGTCGTTAGGATCTTGCTGGATGGTGCTCTGAATCCACAAGGAAATAGCGCAGAGTTGGTTGGGAACAAGGCGGTGGACACATATTTGGTGGGTCCATCTGCCTTCCTCGTCGCATTTGTGTTGACGGCATCAGGATCTGGCGAAAGCCTGCTCAGACCGACTGGACAGCTTCCGCATGTGGATCGGCGTGGCCACGTTGCGCAGCTTGAGGCTGGACACGGTTCCAGCCGAGCTCACCGCTGAACCCCTGAATTGTGGGTCTTGGTCTAGGAATTCGCACACAGCATGAACTAAAACCGTGTGTCCAGTGCTCCTGCTGCGAGTCCTGCACCGTCTTCGCTCTTTATCAGAGCAGACAGCCTTTGATGCGGCGACCTATGCATACATCTTTCCTCTGATCCGCCAGGTCCTCGCTGTCGGCGGAATTGACGCGGAGGAAGAAGATGAGACGCTGGAGCAGCTCATGCTTTCGCTGGATATCATCAAGTTCCACTCTGCTGAATGTATGTGTCCGACACACACACTCTCTCATTTGTGGCTCAAACAATAGGGAACAGACCTCGATTCGACGTTCCCCCGGAAGGAGACACTGGAGATCCTCCTGCGCACGATCCGATTGGTGCCAAAGCTGAGGCAAGACGCGTCGTCGGCACTGATCGACACGGCCAACTCCAGCACCGCACGTGCAGAAATTGCGGTGCTGATCACAGGACTGTTGCTTCCGGAGGTGTACTCGCGGAATGCGTGCTTACTCGCGCTGCAGCCTCTGGACTTGACGGAGCTCGACTGGAGCGTCGAGCTGTGGATCGCCTGCCACGACGAAGACGAACAGAATGCAAGGCTCGCGAGACACGTCTGGGACGACAACGGACTGGACGTGCCAGAATCGGCATTCCTAGCGGAGCTACTGCCTTTCCTGAGCCACGAGACGGCGTACGTCCGGAACGCGGCGGCATCGGCGATTGCTGAGTCGGTGGAGCTGTACCCGCAGGCCATGGAGGCGACGTTGGCGGGGATCCAGGCGTACTACCGAGAGAAGGCGCGCTTGCTGGCACCCGAGTTTGACCAGTACGGAATGGTCATCGCAGACACACTCGACCGCGCGGATCCGTGGCCGGCCCGGGTCGCGATATCGAAGACGTTCGAGCTGCTTTCACCGCAGTTGCCAGAAGACCGCGTCACCTCGTTCTTCGAGTTCCTGATCGACGACGAGGCACTCGGAGACCGATCGGCGCTGGTCAGAAAGGGCATGCTCGCGGCGGGGACCAGTGTGATTGATCTGCACGGTGCAGCGCGCCTCGCGTCTCTGATCGAGATGTTCGAGTCGCACCTCGGGAAGCCGAGTCCTGCCACAGAGACCGGGGACCAGATCAAAGAGGCCGTGGTAATCTTGTTTGGACGTGTTGCGCGGCATCTGGACTCCACGGATCCTCGCGTGCCGTCGATCGTCGCCCGGCTCGTCGAAGCGCTCAAGACACCCTCCGAGCCGGTGCAGATGGCGGTGTCCGAATGCTTGTCGCCGCTTGTGCAGATCATGGGCGATCCGAAGCAGCTGGTCGACGAGCTCTTCGAGCAGCTCGTGAGCTCCCCGAAATACGCAGTGCGGCGCGGCGCGGCCTATGGCCTGGCAGGCGTCTTGAACGGCACGGGCATCGTGGGGATGAAGAAGTTCGATGTGATCCCGCGCCTGAAGAACGCGGCAGAAGACAAGAAACACTTTGAGCCGAGGCAGGGGACGATGTTCGCTTTCGAGACGCTCTCGACGACCCTGGGACGTCTTTTCGAGCCGTATATCACATACGTCCTGCCGCTGCTGCTGACGTCATTCGGCGACGGCACAGCCGATGTCCGCGAGGCCACCCAAGATGCGGCGAGAGTGATCATGGCCAACATGTCAGGATATGGTGTCAAGCTGATTCTGCCCTCGCTCCTGTCGGGGCTCGATGAGAAACAGTGGCGTACGAAGAAAGGAAGTATCGAGCTGCTTGGGATGATGGCGTATTGCTCCCCGCGACAGCTCTCGCTCTCTCTCCCCATCGTGATCCCGCGTCTGACGGACGTGCTGACCGACTCGCATGCGCAGGTCAGAGCTGCGGCAAACAAGAGTCTGAAGCAGTTCGGTGAGGTAATCGAGAACCCGGAGATCCAGAACTTGGTCCGGTGCTCTTGAAGGCCTTGGTGGATCCAGGCAAGACCGCTGCTGCCCTCAGCTCGTTGCTCAAGACGTCGTTCATGCACTACATCGACCATTCTTCGCTCGCCTTGGTTGTGCCGATTCTGGAGAGAGGCCTCCGAGAACGAGGGGCGGATATCAAGAAGAAGGCGGCCCAAATTGTCGGCAACTTGGCATCTTTGACGGACTCGAAAGATTTCGTCCCGTACCTGAACAAGCTGCTCCCAATGGTGCATCAGGTTCTCGTCGATCCCGTGCCCGAGGCACGTGCGACCGCAGCCAAGGCACTGGGGACGTTGGTCGAGCGACTCGGCGAGGGCCATTTCCCGGATCTCGTGCCTGGATTGCTGCGGACGCTCAAGACGGATACATCCGGTGTCGACCGACAGGGTGCTGCCCAGGGTCTGAGCGAGGTGCTCTCGGGGCTGGGCATGGAGCGCCTCGAGGGTCTGCTCCCCGACATCATTGCCAACGCGCAGTCACCGCGAGCGACTGTGCGCGAAGGATTCATGTCGCTGCTGGTGTACTTGCCTGCGACGTTCGGGACCCGCTTCCAGCCGCACCTGCCGAAGATCATCGCCCCGATTCTGAGCGGGCTGGCTGATGTCGAAGAATACGTCCGCGAGGCCGCGATGCGCGCCGGACGCATGGTTGTCACCAATTACTCGACGCGGGCCATTGACCTGCTGCTGCCGGAGCTGGAGCACGGCATGTTCGACCCGGGCTGGCGCATCCGACAGTCGTCGATCACGCTTGTCGGCGAGCTGTTGTTCAAAGTTTCAGGGATCTCGGGCAAGCCGTCTGACCTGGACGACGAGACCGAGGAAGATGCGGCCGGGGCGACAGCTGAAACGTCCAAGAAGGCTCTGGTCGAAGTGCTTGGCATGGAGAGACGAGATCGGATCCTGGCTGCGCTGTACTTGGTCAGGCAGGATGGCGTGGTCGTTGTGCGCCAGGCCTCGATCCAGATCTGGAAGGCCCTTGTCAACAACACGCCAAGAACTGTCCGAGAGATTCTACCAGAGCTGATTCGCCAAACTCTTGTGCTTATCTCGAGCGATGAGCCCGAGCAGCAAGAAGTGAGAGTTTGTCCCGCTTAGATGAAAACCGCTAATGAATCGGTGACAGACCGCCGAGAGAACAGTCGGTGAACTGTGCCGCAAGTTCGGCGAGCGCATGCTGACGGAAATGATGTCGATTCTGAAAACCAGTTCGACGTCCCTGGACGCGAGGACGCGTGAATCGGTCTGTCTCATGGCAAGCGAGATCCTCGAAAACTCGACCGACGCACAAAGAGATGGACACGAAGACGCGCTCATTGCCATCGTGCGCGACTCGCTGGTCGACGACGAGGCCAACGTTCGGTCTGCGGCAGCGCGCGCATTCGACATGCTGCAGGAGCATCTCGGTGCAAAAGCGATCGACCAGACGATTCCCACGCTGCTGGATGCGCTGCGGCAGCCGGGCCGGGCGTCCGGGACTGCACTGAGTGCGCTGAGGGAGGTGATGAGCGTGCGGGCGACGACGGTGTTCCCGGTGCTGATTCCCACGCTCACGAGTCTGCCGATGACGCTGTTCAACGTCAGGGCCGTCGAGGCCCTGGTGGCTGTGGCCGGCCCCGCGCTCAGCAGGCGACTGGGAGTGATCACTGGTGCCTTGGTAGCCACGATGGAAACAGACCCCGACCTCGCCGAGGCCGTCGATGACGCATTCAAGGCCATCTTCTCGTCGATCAACGATTCGGAGGCCTTGAACACCCTGATGATGATCTTGCTGGGCTGGTGAGTCTCCTGGTTTTGTCCCACTCTCGCCTATTCTGAGATCTCCAGGACCAAAAACGAGAAGCCGCGCCGGCGAGTGAGTGGCTGTGTGCTCTTCGGACTGTTCTGCCAGGAGTCGCAAATCGATTCTTCGCTCTACCGAGTCGACTGGGTGCGTCAGCTGGTCTCGCTCCTCGAGGACTCCCAAGTCGAGGTCCATACTGCTGCATGGACCGCATTCGACATCTTTGTCAAGTCGCTTCCCAAGGACGAGCTCGAGCCGCTGGTCGTGCCTCTCCGGAGAACCATCGAGGGCACAGGGGTCCCCGGGCACCACGTGGCCGGCTTCAGTCTCCCCAAAGGCGTCGCACCGACTGTTCCGATCATAATTGCCGGGCTCACCACCGGCAACAACGAGCAGCGCGAAAACGCAGCCTATGCGATTGGGGATCTCGTGGACCGAACGGAGGAGGCGGCGATCAAGCCGTATGTTGTTCCATTCACTGGTCCGCTGATCCGTGTGGCCACCCAAGCAACGGCGTATCCGCCTGGCGTCAAGACGGCCATTTTGACTGCACTGATGGCCATGCTGGAGCGGATTCCGATCTTCGTCAAGCCGTTCTTCCCTCAATTGCAGAGGACGTTCGTCAAAAGTGCGAGTGATCCGTCTAGCGGAGTCGTGCGAAATAAAGCGGCGATGGCTCTCGGTGTTCTGATGCGCAATCAGCCCCGAGTTGATCCGGTCATCACTGAACTCTTAACTGGTGTGCGCACGAGCGACGATCAGATCGGCGCCAGTCTCGTGCTGGCCCTGGCGAGTGTCGTGAAGAATGGCGGGCAGAATGTCGGAGAAAAGGCAAAAGAGGCCTGCATCGAGCTGCTTATGGAGCAATTCAGGGAGCCGCATGAGGGTCCGTGTCGATGTTTCGCCTGATTTATTTGCGCTCATGTTCTTACCAGACACGTACGCTCAAGCCGTGGGCGAGCTGCTCTGTGCGCTCAGCACTGAGCCCGACCTGATCCGCCCTGTTGTCGAGTCATATCTCGTCGGAGGCACCCCGGCGACCATCATGTCCTCCTATACCATCCTCGCACTGCTCAGCGCAGAGGACGCCGAAGAAAATGTCTTCCAGACGCTCGGACTTCTCAAAAGCGTAGCCCAAAAGGTCCAGGAGAGTGCGGCCAGTGATCGCATATTCGTAGCCCGTCCAGCAAGGGAGGCCCGCGATCTATTGAAGGCCCTAGAGGAAGACTAGTTACGTAGCTGTATGCAGATGTAATCTAATCTGATCGGCATAGCCACATCGAATTGATTTTGCTTGAAGTTGTTGTCACCCTCACCCGCAATCATGTATCGTGCCTTCCGCCGCAACCCGAGCGCGTTGCGGCGCGGTCTCTTCACACAAGCCTCTCCACAACCGCCCCCCTCGCCACTCGCGCCGCTGAAAACCGCCCTCGTCGGCACCGCCGTTGTGCTCTCCACCGGCCTCCTCGCCGTATATTACTTCGATGCGCGCTCTGCGGTCCACCGATACGTCCTCACCCCGGCTCTACGGAACCTCTTGGATGCGGAGACGGGACATCGGTTGGCCGTGAGCGTGCTCAAGTCGGGACTCGCCCCGCGGGACCCCCTCAGTGATGATACGCTGTTGAAAGCCGAGATGTGGGGTACGGAGGTATCGAACCCTGTGGGGCTGGCAGCAGGGTTCGACAAGCACGGCGAAGCTATTGATGGTTTGTGTCCCATCCGCGCCTGCATTCCGAAGTAAACGGTCAATGTGCAGGGTTGTTCAACCTCGGCTTCAGTTGGGTAGAGATTGGCAGCGTAACGCCAAAGCCTCAGGTGAGTCGGGCAGTCTACTCTATGCTCTCCGTTTTCTGAGGGGCGTAATGAAAAGGCTGGAAATCCACAGCCCCGAGTCTTCCACCTCCCCGAAGATGAAGGGCTCATCAACCGCTATGGGTTCCCGTCCGATGGCCACGCTTCCGTCATCTCACGCCTGCGCGCCAGAATACCGCGCTTCTCGCCGGAATCCGATAACGCAGCATACAGGCCTGAGTCCCTACTCGCAGTGAACTTGGGCAAGAACAAGGAGAGCGAGGTGGATTCGATTGAGGATTTTGTGGCTGGCGTGCGGGCATTTGGCCCTTACTCGGATGTCCTGGTCGTCAACGTGTCGAGTCCAAATACACCCGGTCTCAGGTACGTGCTTGTGTTGTCTCATGAATTCGGAGCTTCAACCACGCTAGAGGGCTGCAAAACAGAGAACAGCTGGAGTCGCTCCTTGATGGAGTGACGAAGGCGCGGGCTGAGCTGGCGGGTGGCCGGAAACCCAAGCTGATGCTCAAGATTGCGCCGGACCTCACGGAAAGCCAGCTGGTCGAGATGGCGGGTGTAATTGCAGGGACCGACGTTGATGGCGTGATTGTAAGCAACACGACGATACAGAGACCGGTGCATCTATTGAGTGGTGCGTCGTCCCTTATCACGACGCGGGTGCAGTCTGACGGACGTCTCGCAGAAAACAAAACCGAGATGGGTGGACTGTCAGGGACGCCGCTGAAGCCACTCTCGATCGCTGCGTTGAAGACATTGCGGTCTCATCTCCCCGCGTCCATTCCCTTAATCGGCTGCGGCGGTATCTCGTCTGGCCAGGACGCGCTAGAATACGCTCGAGCGGGTGCGGCGTTGGTCCAAGTCTACACCGGGTTTGGATACGATGGGGTAGGTGCGTGCAGACGTATCAAAGATGAGCTGGCGGACGAGTTGAGGAAGGAGGGGAAATCATGGAGGGAGGTTGTAGACCTCGCCGTGGCGGAGAGGAGTCTGAAACCAGCGCTCGAAGAGAAGACGGTGGAAGCGGTGCCTCCGGCTAAGGAGGCTGATTCGAGTCAGCTCTCACAGCTGATTGCAGAGGCCGAGGAATTGAGACATCTGGTTGACCAATACGCTGAAGCTCGGGAGGCATAGCTGTATGAGGCTTGGTATGAGGTTGTATTGCCGGTCAAATTAAGTACCAATTTAGATCGTGGTCGATGGTAACCGTACAACAAACTAAACCAAACCTGGCGAGCGGGGTTTCTCTGAAGCTTCCATGAGCCCGGGTCTCTCAGTTCTAGACCCAGTGCTTCGTCGTTTTCCGCCTCATCCCTGCCGTTCTTGTCGCTAATCTCCATGGCTAATGCTGCCAGGTTCTTGGGTGCTCAGATCCCCAGGACGTCGGGGCAGCCTCAACTCAAGACACCCGCACTAGAGGGCCACTCAGAGCCCAACTTTCGTTACACGCACTCGGGGTCCACGACAAGGATACATGATTTGAAGACGGGAGAGGAGCTGATTAGACATGCGGATCTGTGGTTCAAGGTAAGTGGTCACTGCGATTGTCTGATTTCGATTCCGAAAGTGCTATCCAGGACGGGAGTGTTATCTGCCAAGCAGACCGGACTTTGTTCCGGGTTCATATCTCGCAGCTGTCGCGCCACAGTGTGCTCTTTGCTGATATATTCACGTTGCCACAACCCCGACGGTCATCTGCGTCTTACTACTCCGACCCTGATGGTTCCGACATGCCCGATATGGACTCGGCAACACGCACGCTGATCCACGAGTGCGAGAACTGTCCTGTGGTGATACTGCAGGACAGGACAGAGGACGTGGCGAACTTCCTCGTGGCTCTCTATGACGGCCCGGATTTCGGGAACAACAATCGGGAGGACTTTGATGTTGTTTGTGGGATTCTGAGGTTATCGACCAAGTATATCGTCGATGCGCTGCGTGCGAAAGCGATTGCGCATCTGAGTATCGGCTGGCCTTCGACTCTGAAAGGCTGGGACGCAAGAGAAGATGCTGCCCGCATGTTTGAGATGGAGACAGCTACCAGCAGCGGACAGTTCTATCCTTCTCCCATCGTGAGAGATTCGCTCTTGCCTGTATTTCCCTGTCTGATGAGCACATGCAGGCCGTGATCAACCTGGCGCGGGAGGTTGATTGTCCGAGTCTCCTTCCGGCCGCTTTCTACGATCTCTCGCGTCACTCGTATGCGCAGATATTCGAAGCTGCGGACGACGACCCGTTCTTTCAGTCGCCCTCGCTCGCGGTTTCGGACATGCAGCGTCTGGCGCTGGGCAAAGAGGCTGCCCAACACAACGTGACTGCCCTGATCCAGTCGATGAGCCACGCTCAGACGTATATCAGGCACTCGCAAATGCAGACGCACTTCCGCAAGTCGTCATCCGGAGGTGTTTGCATCTCGGCGGCTGCTTGCCGCAAGGACTTCTCAGAGCTCGTTGATCTTGCGACTCAGCACTATCTGTTTGATCGCGAACGCGGCCACTGTGATCCGCTCTACGTGTCGGAAGAACTAGGCCAGCTGAAGAGCGCCGAGTTCTCCGAGTGTAAAGCCTGCGCAAGGTCGCTCGAGCTGTGGGCTGCCCGAGAGCGTGAGAAACTATGGAAAATGATCCCGCTGTGGTTCAGGCTCGAGCAGCCGACTGCCTGATCTCCCACTCTTACTACTGATACTATGCTGGCCGGTATTTCATGTATGTATCCTCACGATATTCCCTGCATCTGTATTCCCATTAGATCTGTACTACTTGATACATTGTTTACTGATAAAAACACAAAAAAGTCCGTCATCATCCTGAGCCAGTCAGCCCACCGGAAACGCCCGAGGCCAGCATACGGGCTTTCGCGTCGTCAGCGGCATCGCAGGCAACAGTCGTGCCGGGAAGATTGGAGAGTGGAAGTGCAGCACAGATCATGCCGGTGCCACACGGGGTCAGGACGTATGCACCAGAAACGCAATAGGCAAACGCGTTTCCGATGCAGGCCTGCTCGTCGCCAGAACAGGTAGAATTGGCAGTGAGATCCTTGAATGCTGCGTTCTGCGCTTGGGCCTCCTGGCCGTTGATCTTCAAGAACGCGGGTGGCACCGCAGAGGAGGAGCTCGAAGAGGTGGAGTTGGAGCTCGAGGTGCTGTTCGTCGAAGTACTGCCCGAGGCAGAGCCATCGATCCCACCGGAAACACCGGTCGCGGCAATACGGGCCGTAGCATCGCTGACTGTGTCGCACGCTATGGACGTCCCAGGGGCGTTGACCAGTGGAAGCGCTGCACAGGTCTTTCCCGTCCCACATGACTGGAGAACGAACGCGCCATTGGTGCATTGAGCAAAGGACCCGCCCACGCAAGCTTGCTCTCCCTCGGTGCAGGAAGAGTTTGCCGTGAGCGATGTGAATTTGGCATTCAGCTTCTGAGCGTCGAGCCCATTCTGGAGGTGGAAGTCCGATGATGTGGCGGTAGGAGACGATGTCGATGAGGCAGTCGTTGATACAATGGTGCCGCTGGATGTGGTGGTGCTCGTCGGGCTGGCAACAGTGGAATTTGTCACTGAGCTCGCGGACCCATCGATCCCGCCGCTTGCTCCCGATGCAGCGATCCGCGCAGCGGCGTCGCTCAGGGAGTCACATGATACGCTGGTGCCGGCAGAGTTGAGGAGAGGGAGCACAACACACGTCGTTCCTGCACCACATGGAGTCACCACAAAAGCACCGTTCGCGCACTGCGCAAAGGAACCGTTGAGGCAGGCTTGTTGTCCATCAGTGCAGTTGGAGGTCGAGGTCAAGCTCTTGAACTGCGCATTGAGCTTCTGCGCGTCGATCCCGTTCTGGAGTTGGACGGCTTTCGAGGCGGCTCGGGCGACGGGGGCTCCGTGAACATGTGCGAGCGTGAGGGTGAGCGTAATGAGGGTCGTCAACATCATTTCTGGGTCGTTAGAAAGAGTGTTCTGCCGCTACCTGGCGGAAAGGAGGTCAAAAAGAGTAGAGGCAGTAGCGGCCATCGTTCCCGTTTTATATGCGACGCTGGTCCCATTGTGAGCATTAAGAACAATGAGGAAAAGAACCCGATTGTTCCTCTTTGGGACTGTAGTCACGTGGACGCATTGTCGGAAAGCTTCGACGGTGCGGCATTGTAAACAATGATTTGCCCTTGGCCGGTGGCTTCACGCGATCTATTCCCATGAAATGGTCGTGCAGTGATATAATTAAGTACTTCAAGTAGAATCTCTGTTCTTTGCCCTCTGTTGCTGCCACGCCTGTACTTGTTCGGAAACCAAATCCTGTCGACGATGTCTCTGCTCTGCTGCACTTCTGATCCTCTTTGCCCGAGTTGGTTTGACGTCCCTTGTCCAGTATGTGGAGCGGTGTTGCTTCTTGGGCATATGCTGCATCAAGAGGGAGTTCTGCCGCGTCACAATCTCCATGTCCTTGGTCACTTGGATCATCAGTTTCTCCTCCAATTCCGCCTCGCGCTGTTCCCTTCGCTCCGCAGTCATATCCTCCATTCGGAGAGGGTAGTAGAACGGCTCGACAAGTCCGACGATGGCTCGCTTGTATGTCGATAGAGAGGGGTTCTTGTCGGGGCTGGACAGTCGGTTAGGACGTCGCGATAACTCGGCGTAGTAGTTGTCAGTGCGGATGTAGGTCGTCTGGACGCCATATACAGCCATGAGGTAGCTTCGGACATCCGTCTTCGTAAGGTTCTTGGGGATACGGAATGTGGCCTGCCATGGATTGTATGGCTCGCCGGGAGCGGTGTAGTTGCGCACAAGCCGGAATACGATATTGGGTAGATACACTTTCTGTCCCTCCACTTTGACCGTGTAAGGCTTGCCCTTGTGGTAGGCAACCGTCATGCCACGGATGCGAGGGATGGGTATGCTCTTCGTCCGCTCTTCGTCACGTTTCAGGAAGGTATCCAAGCCCAGCCTCCGGACAGGCTTTTTGTCGGTCGAGGGTGTTCTCCCCGTTTCCTGTGCATAACGCTGCGCACGTCGGAGTCGGACGGCAAGCGGTCGTGATCGTGCCAGGGACAAGGACGCCTGCTTTTTGTACAGCGGATTGTGGATATGGGGTCGCGTTAAAGTTCCATGAGAGGTCTGCTTGGACGACGAATTGGACGCAGCAGAAGCAGCAGCACTGGGCGACGTGGGCAGCTTCGCAGACGCGGAAAGGCGCGCTGCTGTAGCTCGGAGCATTGGGGGAGGAAGCAAAAATTCGGCCACGTGATATTGCAGCGAAATCCGGAACACGTGGATTCGCATCATAGCCCTCACTACCACTGCTTCAGTACCACTTGTGCTAACGCACAACCCTTTCCTATGGCCGTCCCAACTCTGGCTAGAATGGGCCGCTGGCTGAGTAATGTCTCGGTCAGTCTCTCGTGGAGATGAAACTCCATCGTAAACGGGCGTGAACTCACACACCGACATAGGTCCCAGCCTCCACCTTCATTTCTTTCGTCTGCCTGTTGATCTTTCTGTTTATATTGTACCAACCTACGCCTGGACCAGGCGACATCCAGCAAATGGGCTGGCAATCATGGGACTCGCTCTCCGAGGGCGGCGCCAAACTCCCTTCGACTAGTGAAGGTGTTGTGCAAGGCTCTGGGGGATCCGCCAGCCTTCCGGGAGACAAGACTTCGGGTACAGATTGGTGGAACGTGTCGACTCCGGAGACAGTGGACTATGCCAGCCTTCCCTTGGACGTTTGGGCACCTCTCATGCCACACGATACCGGACGTGCGTATGTCCTCTCCTTCGCCTTGTATCCTCATCGCATCTGCAATCCAGTGTCTGAAATAACGATTACACACTGCTTTGTTAATCCACGTCTGAGCGATGTTTGTGATCCATCTTCGACTTCGGAGCAAGATGCCATTCGCGGCAAATGGGTTCGCGTCGACAGGTTATGATCATCTAGTTTTTGGAATGGTCTTATTCGCTGACAAGCTTTCACTCAGGAATCTGAACTTTGACGCAGGATATTTCTCTGGATACTTGGTAAGTTTGTCTTCAATCAACATGGGATCTACTAATGGATCGAAAGAACGTTTATTACCGCCGGACGAGGTCTGTTGTTACACCCGGTTATAGATGCTTCTTCTCATCTCCCCAAAGACGACAAGATGTGAATTTGATAACGGATATCCAGCTTCTTGCCAGTGGGAAATCGCCGTCCCAACCAGGCTCATGGAAGAAGGCCGGTACATCACTCAGAGCTGGTGTCGCAGGGACTCCACCCCTCTATCTTTGGTACAGGACCGGGAAGACTTTCGGAGATATGGATGCGGCAGAACGATCCAATATTGTGACTGAGCTGGACGTTGTTTATGGGGATGATATCCCCTGGTACGGCTTCGAGAAACTCGATCCGCCAACTGTACTCCACCATCGTGAGACGGAGAGCACATGGTTGACCATGAGACGGGGTGTCAAGTGTGTGTATGTTTTCTTCCATCCTCGGTCATCTGATAATGTCAGGACAGTGCCACCGCGAGCTTCTCCATTACACTTCTCTCGCGACGGTAAATTTAAGATTTTGCAAGTTGCTGATCTTCACTACTCTGTTTCTGCTGGAGTATGTCGAGATGCTCCTCCGTCTGCGGCTGCTGGTTGCAAGGCCGGGTCTGATAATTTGACCACGACCTCTTTGATTGGCCGGATGCTGGATATCGAGAAACCTGATCTAGTAGTGTTCACGGGCGACCAACTTAATGGGCAAGGCACATCGTGGGATCCCAAATCTGTGATTGCCAAATTCTCTCGGGCCGTCACTGAAAGAGGAGTGCCGTGGGCGGTCATCTTCGGAAACCACGACGAAGAAACGGGTCACGTGTCGAAGGAGGAACAAGTCAAGTTGTTACAAGCCCTTCCCTTCAGCCTTGTCGAACGTGGCCCGAAAGATGTTCACGGTGTTGGCAATTACGTATTGAACGTGAAGAGCGCCGATGCGTCCAAAACCCAACTTTTGACGCTCTACTTCCTCGACTCGGGCAGTTATTCCAAGGGTTTCTTCAACTTCTTCGGTTTCTTTACACCTACTGCGTATGACTGGATCCGTAAGGTCGATCGCGATGGCTTCACTTTGTATTCTTTTTGACACTGGTTCCAGAGTCAAATCAACTGGTTTCTTCAACAGTCTGGTCTGTTTCTCCCAGTCCTCGCATCTCCAGACTCGCGTACTGATTTCTCTGTCAGCTGCCGTGAAACCCATCCAACGACCGTTTCATCCTGACACGGGGAAAGATTTCGGCCATGTTTGGGCGCGACAGGGCCACGACCAGGTTGCTCCTCTTGCCGCGAAGCTGGCAAAACCAAACGCAATCATGTTTTTCCACATGCCATTGTGAGTGCCATCCAAGCTTGAAGTAGGGAATCCATTTCTGACCCATCCATTCTGCAGACCAGAGACATACAACAAAGCTGACGTCGGTGCCAACGGGAAACCACTTGACATAGGGATTTCGGGTCAAGAACCCAATGGCAACGCAAAAAGCAACGATGGCTTTTTCGCTGACGGTATCCTCAAGGCTATGGAGAGCGATCACGTGAGTAGCAACCTCCAAGAGGTCAAGGTCATCGGAAACGGACATTCTCATGGTATGTCGTCCTCTCCATCTCCCCCAACTTTGATCTTATCTAGCTCAAGTCACTGAGAATTGTCGACGCGTCAAGGGTGTCTGGTTTGTGTTTGGTTGTCTTTGCTGTAATCATTCTGCTGATCGACTCGTTCAGGTTCTGCTTCGGGGGCGGCGGGTACGTTCTTAGTCTGATTTTCCTCTCTCGTGTTAACTCCGTAAGGTCTTATTCCGGATATGGCAAACTTGGGTAAGGCTGCTTTTACTCTTGGAGAGTCATGTGAGTGATGCGGCTGCAGTTTCGACCGCCGCTTTCGCGTGTACGACATCGCAGACTACGGCGAAACCATCAGAACGTACGATCACTAGTCATCGCGCGTCAGCCTTCCATCTGATCAAGGCACATCCAGATATAAACGCACCGAACACAACAACTTCGAGGAAGTAACTGACGAGGTGATACTCGTTGGCAAAGGGGCTCGAGTGTGACGACATACAGAGTCGTGCAGGATATGGATCTAGTCATTCTCCGGAATATACATGTATATCAGCGATAATCCTTGTACAGTACTCGAAACCGTTTGCAGACGACTTTCTGGCTGCACAGGCTCAGACTTCCAAGCCCAGCGCTCAGGCCTTGTACTTTAGCAGCAAGACGATTACAGTCACTGATACTTGTCAGATAAATTTGATCGGAGCTGACTCAAGCCGCAATTCGGCAACCACTCGAACCCTGGTTTCGCTCTGACCACCACCCTATGATCACCCGTCCCTCTTTCTGGGCCCGTGTTCTTTGGCTCCAGTAAGCTTTAGCTGGAGGTACTGCTACGCGTCGGGCCAATTATCTTGCTATCTATCTTGCTTTGTCTCTGCTTTTGCTATTGCTATCTCTTTGCTTTGTCGCGTCCCCTTGATCTGATCCTCATGCCACGGTCACCCTCAGTCTCAGCCGTTCATGTAAGAAGCCAGACTTAGACTTGCCACTCAATTCTCATCTAGACTTCCTACAGTCAATGAAACCCTCGACTGCCTCGTATTCTTCCCGTGGGCCGACCGGTCGCAAGCGCGATCGACACGGCGGAGACCCACACTCGATCTCACAGGTACATTGTCCATCGCCTCAAGTCAACGAATCTCACTGCAGATGGGCTCACTGCCAACAACTTTCCAGGGGTCGCCGATAGCGTTTGAGAACTATGTGTGTCCGCATCATTAATCCCGTCTGCAGCCTGCTCACTCACATTCTCAAAGACAGCTGGACCGCCGACCGATGAGCCACTCGTGAGTCATCGACGTTCTCGACCATCTCGGTGTTGCAGATATGAGAGTAGTCGGGGAAATGGAATGGCCATAGGGTGGATGATTTACCCCCCGAACTCCAGGTATGTATACAAAATGTACCGTCTATCGCTGGGTTTTATATGTGTTCCAGGCTCAGATTGACCCAGCCGATATCATCCCTAATCGCATGGGCGGTCGGTACGCACAGACGCCGTTCCACAGTAATGGCCAACCTCATGCTCCCGGTGTATGTCCACAGTTTAGGTTGCCTGCTACTCTGATCTGGCGCTTAGCTGAGGCCACATCATCCATCGAGACCAGTACGCATCGTGCGAAAGTCCCGAGCTGAGGTTCGTGGTGTCATACATGTTGAATCTCGCTCTCGTTTTGACTTACGCTCTTTGAAGAAGGCCAAGGAGCAGGCCAAGGCTCGTCATAAGGCTTCAGAGCGGGCGTTTCAAGCGCTGCTCGCTGCGTCGGGAAATTCGACCTGTCCCCAATGTATCTACGATCTGAGAATCCAGAGCCGACAGCAAGTCGCTGCAAGCTTTCCAGCGTTGTATGCCGACTTTGCCCACGGACTGAAGCCTCAAATACGCACCAAGCTCCCCGCGTTGCCTGGTATGGAGATGATAGACTTCAATCCGAAGCCGATGGAGGGCCAAACCACGGATTCACACGGCGTGTCTCTGACGGAAATCTTGGACTTTCGAGACGTCCTCGAAGGCGCTCGAGATCCGATTCTTCACGGATCGGCGGACGTGAAGTTGAAAATCCAGGTAATTTGGATATGCTCGTTGTAGCTGCCGCTTACGGGCACTTTCCGCGCAGCATCCTGGGTATCCTATTGTTGTCAAAGAGCTCGCCAGCAATTGTGAGCACCGACCTGTGTCTCGGTTCAACCTAGCATACAGTGTTGCTGAGGCCTACTCCTCCTTCTTTGAGGTACGCTTTTCATGCTCAAGCGTGCATTTGGCTCACGTTCCTCTCAAGCACAATAAGTTCAGCCGCGCAGATGCTGCTGCTTCCGGGGCCGAGGTCTCGATCCAGTTCCTTCATCAAATGCGGCTTGTTAGCCTCTACACCACAGACCATTCCAATTATATTGCCCATATCGCACTTGTTCGCTAGGCTGTTTCTACTGCTATCCACTTTTGCTTTCTGTATACCAACTTTGAGTTTGGACTCTGGTGACTCTGACAGGTGTGTCAGCAATCGTGACACCCGTGACCTCGATGATCGCAGGTCGAAATCACTGCATCGACCACGGTGTCCTTTGTCTCCCATGTCAAGCCGGAGTGCTCTACCTTCCAATCCGGCGTCCGGCAACGGGTCTGCCTCTCGGCGCGATACGAACCAGTCCGTATCATCGTCTTCAAGTCGGACAGAGCGGGCAGGCTCCAGGAATGGCGGCTCTTCTGTACGTCGCGCGAAGTGGTCCTCTTCAACAACCGATTTAATGTGATTATGAAGCCAGCCGTCGAATCTGCCGTGACGCGTCTGCTTGTATCAATCAAGCAGCTACTCGAGTCGCTTACGCAATGGAGTGTACTGAAGATCGACGAGAATAGTGTGAGCGATGTGTATGTCAGGCTGGGGAACGACTTCAATGCCGCGGTGGCCGCATTTGCCGCCTACAATATTGATATGGCGTGCGTTACACTCCAGTTGTCTCCAGGCATACCTAAAGACGTTCTGCAGTGAGCTAATGACTGTTCCGGATGATCTGCGCAATGTCCTCGAGCAATGCCTTGCCGAGGACGCGTCACAGGATAATCTGGAACTTTATCTCCCGACTGTACGACAGATAATCACGAATCTCCTACAAGGGCTGCGAGGGAAACAATCCATCTACCGACGCATCATGTCTGACCATCGGCGTTCCGAGCAATCCACGTCTGAGCGGACGGACAGTCGCTCTTCGAGGTCGAAGCGCGAAGGCTCTCACCGTTCGCAACTATCACGCTCGGGACTCAGTGACGAGAATCCCCCAACCCCAACGTCTGCGCGCGACAGCACTTCGTCACGAAGGAGTGCTGGACATTCATCGAGAAGAAGGGACCCTGGCTCACCTCTAGTTGGAAACACGATGAACGGAGAAGCTTTCATTGGAGGCTTTGCCCCAGCCTTAGTTGAGCCCACGCCGACAGAACCTACCCCGGAAAGGGAAGTTGCTGACTCGCCGGAGCCGCAATCACGCCGAAACCGAAATGTACCTCCGCCCATCGACCCTCCGCCCGCCGAAAGCGTGGACCAGTATCCGAGCAACTCTCCAAATGACCCCACGCTTCCAATGCCGTCGCCAGCACCCAACGTCCCCGCCAGTGTGAAGCGATATTCACTGGTCGACAAACCACTGGCTACTCCGCAGGTAGTCGTCGAGCCTTCAACTCCTGGTCCTGACATGGAACGTCTGAATGGAACTGTATCCCCCCCTCCACCAGATACTCCGCCCATCGATGCATTACAGGCGCCCGCTGTTGCCAACTCTCTGGCTGCGTTGAAAAAGAGTGATACACTCGAGCGCCGCGCCTCCAAGCGATTCTCGACCTACAATATCTCCAAGATGACTGGGGCGATACCGACCCGAGAACGATCCGTGCGTACAGGTTCAGGGGCAGCTAATCGACGGTCTCTGGCAGCCGGGTCTGCGCTCACACCCGGGGACCTTGCCGTTCTCACTGAAGTAGACGACGAGGAACCTGCTGCACCCACTCTGGTCAGGAAAAGCAGCAATTCAAGGTCGCGTGCGAGCCCGTCCGGTGCTGATCGCAGCCAAGCAGGAACACCTCCGGTTCCGCCTCTTCCGTCGACTCCGTCGCGGACACCGGAGCCCGTTTTGGCTGTTTCATCTGCTGCTGCGTCGGTGGAATCTTTGGTCGCCCCAGCTCCACCGCCACCTGCAACCCAGTTGATCGTTTTTCTTCAACTGGGACGCGAGGTCAAGAAGGTCACAATCGACAGAGGCTTGTCTGTTGCTTCGCTTCGGATGTTATTTGTGGACAAGTTCTCGTATAATCCTGGCCTGGAAAATTTTCCTGCGATCTATATCAGGGATCCTGCGAGCGGAGTGCAGTACGAGTTGGAGGATATGGACGAGGTCAAGGAGAAGTGTTTGCTTTCACTCAACATTGAACGTGAGTGGCGCCGTCATTATTTGTGGCCTACGCTCACTCTGCTTTGAAGCTCTCGATCAGATCAAGCAGCACATCGATGCTCAGATCTCGACGTTGTCCCAAGATATCAAAGAGCTCAAGTCGGTTGTAAATAACAACGGCAGCGGCAACAGTGGCAATCGGCAATCGATACATCTGCCGGCGATTGTCGGCCAACCTCTGGCCGAAAGCACACCAGCCCCTAATCGACCAACGGATCGCCAATTCCAGAACGTAGCGCGACGGCTATCAAGATTCGTCGGCGATGCCTCGTCTGAGATGCCGCCGTTCTCCACATCGCCACCGCCGATGCCATCTGCACAGAGCACGCTGCAGCCACAGATGACAGGAGGCTCGGTGCTCTCTGATTATTCGTCTCGTGTCGTGACGGATCTCAAAACGCAATTCGACGAAGTTCAGAATCTGCGCCGAGACCTCGGGGTTCTGCGTCAGCTCTATACCGAGTTCATGAAGTCGACGAAAGATTCGCTCGGGTCTCTTCGTGCGCAGACCAAGTCCGTAAAGCAGCTGGCAAACACCAACGTCGGCGGAGCACGTGGCTACATCGACACGGGGAAGAAGAAACTGGACAACCGCAGTCAGAATGTGCTCACGGAGATCGAGAAGCTCCAAGACGCCGTCGAGAATGTCAAAGACGACGTCGTCAAACGGCATATCACCCCGAAGATGCAGTATTTGAAGACCATCAAGAACGACATCGAGGCCCTTTCCGCAGAAATGGCTAGTCTGAAGGAGCACATTGACACGGTGAAACCGATGTGGAAGAAGACTTGGGAAGAAGAGTTGCAGAACATCGTTGACGAGCAGGGATTCCTCAATCACCAGGAGCAGTTCCTCGAGGATCTGATCGAAGACCAAAAGGCGCTTGTCGAGGTCTATGGGCATGTCGAAAAGATCATCAGCATCCGAGGGCCTGGTTCAGTGGGCAGTCGGAACGGCAGGAAAGGGTTCCGCCCGCCACCCATCGATGAAGGGCATAATGGGCTCAGCACGGTCATGCTCGAGATCCGGGGCGCGGCCATCGACCCAGAGAAGCGGATGAAGGCCATCGAGGCCAGCCAGAAGAACAGGCAGAAGGAACTGGCAAGCCGTTCGGACGAGATGCAAGCTGAATTGACCGACTTCGTGACGAACAAGAAGCTGAAAATGACGGGTGGCGCAGAGGAAGCTGAACGTGTCAGGCAACGGCGCAACGAAATGACGCTCAAGGCCATGTTTAGCAGCGGTGGGGTCACTGAGATGGGCAGCATGTCTGGTGACTCTAGTATGTGATGATGACGACTGCATTCATTCAATTCCATTCCATCATACAATTCCCGCGCATATTTATCGTTCGTTCACCCGTTATCTGTATCCTATGTATCCTCCGTGCTGTGATCATTCTGCAAAGGATAATGATTTCATTTTCGTCATCTACCACATAATGCAGATGCTGTTGCTCACCAACGGTCCTCCACCTGGATGTCCTCGTCAGCCTCCGCGTCGGCTGGGAGCTCCTCCGACGTCGCTCGGCGCTGTCTAGCGATTGCCTTGTACGACCTGAACGACTTCGTGCCCTGCGCAAGACGCCTGGGCCAACGCGGTGGGGTGCTTCATTCCGGTCCGCGATCAGATGCAGAACAGCCGCAATAAACACCGGACGCACGATGACGATCTCCCGCGCGCGACAGGCTGTGCACCGTCCTCCGGCAAACGGATGTGTCGGGGCGTGAAGATGAGGTAGGAGAAGGGGAAGTGCATGCGCGTCCTTCCTTGGTGGGGCGATGGTGGTGGGCCTTTACGACAACGGTTCCTTGCTTTGAACCTTTAAATCCCACGAGGAAGGGTGTTTAGGCCATAATGGACACAAAGCAAGTGCTTTGCTTTCGGCCTAGATCACGTATCGACCAAGAGCGCGGAAAGAAGAATTAGGATAAGAGATGGCCAAGTGATAGGAATAGAGCTGCATTAGAGAGAAGGTTAAGTTGGAAAGTTACGAGGGCTACACAGCGAATTGGGAGAGTGAGATCCTGAAAACCATTGATGGGATGTGCGATGGGATCATTCGCGGTACACTTCAATTCTGGCACTAGAAAGCGTCGGCTCCGCCGACATCATGCCTTGCTTGCCGATTAAATCCATACAATTGAATTTATACACCATAAAACAAGTAAAATACCAGCGCAGTCGTAACTAAGCACCAGACGCTCTCGTCTTCTTTTTCAGGCTCTTGTCCATATCAGGCACCACCGGCAGAGACTAGATGAGGCAAGACAACATCATGCGGTGCATGTGCTCGTGTGTGCAGTGGTGGCATGTGAAGCAGCGCGGTTAGAGAGTGACACAAGCAGAAACAAAAACAGCCCACAGGTGGGTGCACACTGCAAAAGAGAGTCATCATCGTGCATGGAACTATAAATTACACTGCCTTGCCGCGCTATAATGCCAGCAACAGCAGGGAGCATAAGTACAAAGATAAGAGTGAAGAGTGAATGAGACCATGACACGAAGGTACAATTGATCGGATCGGAATCCGGAACAGAGTCATCTGATTGATTTAATCAGTGATGGGATCTGATTGATGCACGAATTTAGGGTCTGGAGAAGCCTTGACAAGCAAGGCAACTAAAGCTACCGAGCATGCTAATCATCAAAGTCCTCCTCTCCAAATCCGGTTTGAGGTGCAAACTGGACGCGGGTGATGCCGCTCTGATCGTCCGCATTCTCGTTGTTTGAAGCTGCCGTAGGAGTAGCAGCAGCAGCAGCAGCAGTAGACTCGACCACAGGCGGGGGGTCCAGATGGTCCAAACAGCCTGGCAGGCATCCCCTCCATCTCAATGGCACAGACCCCCCTACATGACACCCAGCCACTACCCCGTCCCAGGTGAACCGCTCTTCCGCGTGATGTATAAAAAGCGAAAGCCTGCTCGTGTGATGGGGCGAAGGACAGCAGCCGACAGACACCTCATCATCCGGCTCGATGAAACTATCATCCGCTGAGCAGGCCTCAGCCAAAACCACGCTTCTCGGATGTATCGCACGCAGGACTTCTCGGATCGGAGTGGTTCCAAAGTCGTGAGGGAGCGGAAACTCGTAGTATTTCGCCAGCTTGCGCTCGTCGTAGCTGATCGACGCCGGTCCCGTCGCTGACTCGAGGAGAAGGCGATAGCAAAGCTCCATCAGATTCGGAACACGCTGGCCTTTGAACGCCATATTCGACTGCGTTGCTCCGACTCGTCGTTCTCGGATGGATTTCACGCGGCGGAATTCTCGCGAGACTGGCGGGTCCAGGAAGTTATTGGGGAAGACATGTAGTTGGTTGAGCGTGAGATCCATGATTTCTGCTGGCAGGAACCGGAGCTTGTTCCCAGACAGGTTCAGTTCTCGCAGATTCTTCAGCTGCCTGATTTCCGGCGGAAGATACGTGAGATCGTTGTTTCCTGTGCGCATAAAGTCAGAGGTGGTACTATTTTTGGACGGCTGTTCGCACTCAAGCTGAGAAACGCTAGCCGCTCCAAGAGAAACAGCTCGATTGGCACGCGCGATATCTGGTTCTTGGCCAAGTATAGCTGGATATCATTGCGCGGGATGTTCTCGATTCGTTTATCCGTCTCGTGTGACTCCAAGATGGCTGGTGACGTGATAGCTTTGGTGAAGTCCCGTCTCGCCGACACATTCCGGGATGATTCCGCAGGAAGGTCGTCTCTGCTTGGAGGTACGAAGAACGCACACATGTCGTAGACGTATTTCGCTGGAATCTCGCTGATGTTCTGGTCACTGTATGCATGTCAGCCCATGCCAACTGCGACACCAGAACGCCACAAACTCTAGATCGATTTTGCCATTTCCTGTCTGAAACATGCCCTGGATGGCCTCATCCCACTTGAGGTCGGCTTCCTCTTGCTTTCCGCTCCCAAAGAATGAAATAGGTGTAATACTAGATGTGCTGTCTCTGGGACCGAACAATCGCGCCTTTTTTGCTCGTTTGCGCGGTGAGGCAGCTGCGGAGGGTGATATTTTGCGCTGGTGGCGCCTCTTCGCGCCCTTCTCGTAGTCAGGCGCGTCCCAGAACCCTCCGGCAGACGCAGCAAGCGGATGCACACGTGGATTCTCTCGTGAGAACGAGCGCGAAAAGTGGCCCGCATCTTCGTCCGCGGGGGCTACTTCCATGTCTTCGTCCCACGGGCCCGGAGAGGACGCTGGAGACGAATCATTAAGCGCGGGGGGCGAAGATGGAGGAGAGGAAAACGGAGGGGCCATATTCCAGTACGAGTCGTGTTCCATGGTAGTAATGAGCGAGTTTTGTGGAAGTGGTCGCGTGCGTGCAGCCTGAGTATATCTACGGCATTCGCGATCACATGATATGGCGTCTTTCCCACGGGTACTACACAACTCGCGTAGATAACGAGCCAATGGGCTGTCATGGGCATTCGACTTGGACGCCCTTGAAGGTAGCTACAATCTGTTCTGGAGCGCGTTGCCAGTCTATTGGTCCCTTGCCCCAGTCTGCTGTGCTCGCGGGACTGCTCGCATCCCAGATACCTGATACCAACGAGATGAGAGACAGAGAGTGGAATGAATGAAGCTCACCCAGTTGCAGTCTCATGCTATGTGTCGGATAGTGCAAGAAGCCGTTCCTGGTGCATTGATCTTCGTCGCTTGAGTTGGCCGATTCAGGAACTGAATTGAGAGAGGATCTCACCTCGTTTCAAAGTCCTCACGGCGCGTCCATCCAGACTCCAATGAACAGCATCTGGACTCATCTCGATGCTATATGCATGTACATCATTGATTTTGTCGACCGCTTCCTTGGAGCTGAAAACGCCGTATTCTGGTTTCGAGTCGCGCGGATCAGCCACGAAAAGATTCGTCTGCCATGTATACGGGTCTCCGCAGATCAGCTCGACGTCGATTTCATCGGATGACCCCGAGTCTCCTGTATGAAAATCAGAGACCAAACGCGTTGTGAGCAAGGCAACCGCAACGCACCGATGAGGATCCCCGCCACAATAACACCCGATATGGTAGGAGCCTCGACAAGGAATGTCACTTTGCCATTGCTACATTGTAGATTAGATCCTCTTCCTAGATTCAAGAGAAAGGTGGTCCCCGCACAAAATAGAAAACGTAGAGTTGATCGTCGCCCCATACCCTAGTTTGTCATTCTCCCCCCTTGCGGTCGTGACGATCCCAGGCGGTTTGTGCAGATACAGCTCGAGCCCAGAGTCCGTCAGGGAGTACGATCCGTCTGAGCTGATAGGCGCGAAGTGCTTGTAAAACGCGTCCGAATGCGAAGTCGACCCGCCGAATGTGATGTTCAGCGGCTGGCAGGTCGATGGGGCGTCGCGGGCGAGATGCCGCAGTGCACGTGCCACGCCGGCGAGAAAGGATGCATAGAGGATCAAAGTAGTAATGTGCATCGCAAGGAGATACTGAAGAACTTCAAGCCTGCTTCAGGCGTTGAGACTGCGGATCAATTGTGAGCTATGACAGGCTACGACGTGCACAGCCACGACGGAAGGAATACGGTGTAATTCATGCAGCTATCAGTGGCAGTGAGATCAATATGCACGGAAGAATTTTCCATCCGACATGGATCTGCAATTTATCTTTGGTTTTACCGCCACCTTCGGGCCCATGCTCCGACACGATGCGAAGCGCGCAGGTACGATTTCAAACGCCGGTACAAATATACAACAAAGCGAGGGAGCGGGTGCGTTAGTAATACAGCAAAGTGGTATGACGAAGACTGTGACAACAAGAATGGGCTAGCTGACGATAGCGGGGGATAGCAATAGAGAGATGATAGAGTACGTGAGAATTAGTGGTGGACTGGTGGTACAGCCGACGCCGATCAACGGTCAGCAGACGATGTGCCAAATTCAAGACCTGACTTCAATGAAACTGTTCCAACCCCATGAACTCTCGTCATCGTTTTGGAAGTCCATGAACGATTTGAGACCAATAGCAGTCTTGGATCGTCGCAGGGACCTTTTTGAGGACTCCCGTTTTCTGCTGTGGGAGTGCGATGATTTTGCCGAGGGAGAAGCATTGTGAGGCATAAGCTCCCCGTCATTCAGCCGTGCAATGAGCATAATCAGCTGATCGTCCCTGAGCGACAGGTCCATGTCGGACGGCGAGCCGACATCGCTGTCGCTGTCATCACCGTCGCTAAGACTCATGAAATCTCCAGTGGTGTTCAAGGCAAGCGCAGGACGCCGCCCTTCCAGACAGGCAAGCGCCTTGTTCCGTCGCTTGCGGCGATACCGGGTCGAGACGGTTGACGTCGTGGCTGACGCACGAGTGGCTTGGGACACGAGGGACGGCTTCCGCTGCGGAACGGACCGGATGTCGACAGGCGCCACGGTACGGGAAATTCTAATTTCGATGACCTGAGAGCCAGTGGTTACTGGCGACGGCACACAAGGCAGGGAGGCTGAAGGAGCAGGTTTTGGGGACGGGATGGCACGGGAAGAATGCACCGGGGACGATCGCGCGAAAACCGGCGATGGTGGGAGCAAAGAGGGCGAGTCGGGTACCGGACTGAAAGTTGATTAATGAGGGAACAAGTATTATGGGACGGCCTGGCGACGTACTCCGCTTGCTCTCGTTGACTTCGCGTAGAACGTCGCGCGTGCCGAGACTTCAAGGACAAAGACTCGGCCAGATCGAGAGACAGAAAGGAACGATATTGGTTCTTGTCCACCACTGCAGGAGAATGCATAGCAAGATAGAACGAAGAGTCATCGCCGGCGGAGGTCGCGAAAGAAGATGAAGAACTCTCGGGCAAGGAGCCTCTCCGCGGAAAGTCGAAAGAATAAGATGAGGCCGGAGAAGAGGGAGACGAGCTGGGACTCATGAGCCCGGAGAGGAAATAAGAAGAGTAGGGTGTGCGGGCATCGAAGGCGGGGTTTGCACGCATACTAAGAACTCAAAGGATTGTGGGTCATGGAGGTGTGGGCTGGTTTTAATATGTATCCGGGGACCTGATGGTGACCGACGTTGTGACGAGTGACACTAAAGAAAGAAGCGAGTCGGACGTTTCACCGGTAACCGAATCGACACGATCTCGAAGTTGTGTGGCGTTGAACGGATGGATCGAAGGCTCCCACGGCTGTCTTTTGTTCATTTCTGAATTCTTTGTGTTTTGCACGGTCGTTGCATCAACAGTTCGGACAAACAGCTCAAAGAAGAAGCACTTTCTGAGCTCGCAAAGCCAGCGTTTCAGAGAAAAAATAGCGCCGCCAACCACACGAGGCGTGGTAACTATGGGTCGACGGATGGGCGTTGTGTGCGCATGCGAAAACCAGCCGATCGTCGAAGCACAGGCGTGAGTTGGCACGATCGCATCTTGGCCTGGCGAGAAGAATCAGTCCATATGTGTGAAATAAGGCTCGCCGCTGGAGTCAGGGCACCGGCCTCGTGTCGCGGTCTCCCACACCATTAAATCTAAATCCTGTATGCGACAGCCGCCGCCGCTGCTGATTCAAATTCAAATTGTATCCACTCTTGAACCCACGCATAATGTAGAGTACAGACAGCACACCACTCATACATATATATTCTCCGTCTCGGGGCTTTTCAAGATCTCTACCAGCTCCAGTTGTGTCGCCCGGCTCCCGGACAAAAGTTCCGAAGCCACTATCAGCGCGCCCATTGTCCCTTCCGCACACACATCTCCAACGTTGCACGTCTCCACTCAGTACGTGTTCCTGGAGAAATACCGCCTCGGCAATCGATACCATCTCTTGGAGACTGGAGCAGGGCGAGCTCAGGACCACCCGATAGGTCGAGACTCACATGTGGTTTACAGCACGTTTACAGGACGACTGGCACTCGCTGGCGATCGTTGACACCGCTTCATGAAGCGACCCTACTCAGGTCTGTCGTGGCCTGTGACCTCATGCAATCCCTGTTCCATAGATGGTGATCCCCATGATTTCGAGTCAGGAAGCAGTCCGAGTGGAGCGTGATGTCCGTGGTTATTAACCAGCGTCAGCGGTTATCATGCTCGCTCTGCGAATTTGTTGCAAGTGGCTTCCGCGCTCATTTCCGTGTGCATATATTGCCGCCCACTGTCTGTTCTTTATCAAAGGATAAGCGATGACACCCTGGGCACGACGTGGAGCTCAGTCGTTCCCACCTATTAGAGCTAGAAGAGACACTCGAGGACCCTATAATAGGCTCTCAAGACATGGAACCTGTCTGCGCACCGTTTAGGTAGTAGAGAAGCTTCAGGTACTGAGCACTTGCTGTAAAAGTAGTGTTCCACAGGCTATGCGAAGCATAAATCGTCTTCGGAGGACTATGAGTCTAAGGAACTCGTGCGGCATAGTAAGCGAAACGCCGTCACGTGATCGAGTGAGCCATTCCGCGTACACAGATAAGGAAACTCGGGACTTGCCGACGTCATTGCATGCACTGCTTCATTTTGACAACCACGATTGAGCGCGATCGCTTGCCTGTCTCCAGTCTCTTTTACTCGAAGGATTCATTTTGATCGCTTTCCCACACATATGTCGAAATTGCTGCCGGAACTCTCCAAAGCATTCCACGCAGGGCACGTCAACCGCTGCCTCACCGGCCTTCCAGGCTCGCATGTCGAGTACGATGCATCCCGGCATGTACCCCTCTTTTTCCAGGACTAACCACATCTCATTGAAATGCAGTATGGCCGTAGGTTTCTACTGCATCGGGGCGCTCGATCTCCTGGGTCTGTTGGAGAAAAAAACGACACCGACTGACCGTAGGTTGTGGAAGGAGTGGATATGGGAACAGCAGATTCGTGCGATCCATTCTCTTACCCAATGCCCGCTGCGATCTGAAGTCTCGGCCAAGACGGACCAGCTGGATCCGGATTCCGGCCCAGTCCGTTCGTCACTCCGTATGCCGCGCAAGCTGTAAGCAAGCCCTCCCGAGCTGCCAAGCCAGGACGTGCTGTCGAACAGACGTTGATAGGAACCTTACGACGCGCACAACGGACCGCATCTCGTGATGTCCTATACTGCCATCCTGACGCTCGCGATACTTCGCGACGATTTCGCGCAATTGGATAGGCCCGGCCTGGTCACGTTCGTCCGCTCGTGCCAAAGGGCGGATGGCAGTTTCGCAATTACACCCGGCAGCAACGAATGTGACCTGCGAAGCCTGTACTGTGCCTTTGCCATTTGTGACATGCTCGGCGATTGGAGCGGAATTGACGTCGCGCGCAGTCTGGAGTACATCTCCCGATGCAGGGTGAGGCAGCGTAGTTCCCGATTCTGGATGCCTGTCCTCACGTAGTGTGACTGGCTTGCAGACATACGAAGGCGGTTATGGTCAGGATCCTTTCTGTGAAGCTTCGGGTTCGTGCGCGCTGCTAGAGCTCTATATACAGCAGTTGATTGCGGCCATACGCAGGCGGGCCGACATACATAGCACTGGCATCTCTCCATCTAGCTACTCGAGACACCGGATCCCCGTTGACGTCGTCAGAGCGCCACCGGAGCATCCACTGGCTCGTCCACAATCAAGAGGACAGCGGGGGCTTCCGAGGGCGCACAGGCAAAACAGCCGACGCATGCTATAGTTTCTGGTGCGGGGCAGGATTGAAGGTTCATTCAGGCTCTGCAAGGACTGCTCCCGAGACTTACGCCCCATGCCATCTGCAGCTTCTAGGAGCATCAGACCTGGTCGATGCCGAATCACACGCATCATTCATCGCCAGCTGTCAATTCAAGTTTGGTGGCATATGTAAATTTCCCGGGGAGACCCCAGGTTGGATTCATTCGTTTTGGATGTTTACTGGCAATGGCTGACAAGCCTCCCTCAATCAGACCCTTATCACACCTACCTCGCCATGGCATCGTTGGCGCTGTACCCTCCCAGCGTCGATATATCAGTGGCGGCATCCTGGAAGATCGCGCCGATCGATGCACTGCTCAATGCTACAGAAGATACCGTCAGATGGATCAGACACCACGTCCCCGCGCCGCGCACCGTTGGATGATCCAAGGCCCCATCAGCCAGGCTGCGTGCGATTTGGCCGTGTTTGTTGCGGTAAAACACGATGTCGCCGTCGTCTTCGATGAAGCAGCACTCGGTAAATGTGCGATACAGCGCACGGAACGAGTTCTGTAATATTGGTGAGACAGACAGAGAGAGAATTGAACTAGAGCCCTACCGTCGAGTCATAATTGTAACTGCCCTGTAGAACTTTCTTGATGTGTTCCGTCACGAGTGGTTGATTGTCTGCAACTGCTCTCAGCACTGGAGACATGTGGAAGTGGACATTCGCTGACAAAAGGGTATGTTTGAAAAGAGATGGTGAGAGATCTGGAAGCCAGTTCAGTTCAGCGGTAGCCAAATGATGGCTGTCAAGACGGACATGGTCATGAGAAACATTGTGCAGGAAAAACCGACCAGCCCAGCCTGCGAGGCGATTAGAAAGTGAATGTGACTGCGCATCGATCCTTACCGAGAAACGGGCGGTCGACAGTCGAAAGTGCCCCGCGTAGAAAGGACCACTGGCGTCGCCGGAAATACGGGACAGTGGGGTCGCAGTGATGCAGGTAGGTGAGCATCACAATCCAGTGGTTCACACACTGGAAGACGGCGTCAGACAAGAGAGGGAACACAGGGCTGGTCACGCACCAGATATGGTATCAGGTAAAGCTTGGTGAAATAGGACAGACCAACGCGCTGGGACCAAACATAGAGCAAACAGGTCATTATGCCAAGGCCGATATCTGAAGCAATGATATGATTTCTTTCCCGTGGGTTGAAGATCGACGACCAGGGATTAAAGTGCTGCAAAGCGAATGAGCTTGTTTAGAATCGTGAAGAGAGATGAACTTACGTTGGTTCCAGGCGGATGTCTTGGCGACCCCATGACATTGGTGAGCAGATACATAGGCCAGCCAACGACTTGCATGAAGAGCATGCGCGCGAGAGTGTATATCGGCGTGTCGTCAAAGATGTCATGGTAGTCATCCAGCGTTGCGACAGATTCATCAGGCAGATGGTATCCCTGGCGAGTTCGAGCTGGGAAAGCACGTCAGTCGACAATGAGTCGAGTTGCGAGTGCAACTGACGGATGTAGTTCTCGTCGCGCTCCAGAGACATGGTTGCTCGGTGATGGGCGTTGTGCGACGCGCGCCACGCATAGAACGGGGTCAGAAGAAACTGTCGCAAAGCATATGAGAAAAGCCAGTGAGGAGGGATCAAAACAACCCACACTGTGCAGAACAAACCCGACGATGTGATTGATCCATTTTATATCAGAGAGATTGCCATGGCCCGCCTATGTTGGTGAGCGATCGTGCGGAAGGGACCATCATTCGGTTTACCTCGTGTGCGATACACCACCAGCCTGCGAGCACGATTCCCTGAGCATACCAGTAGCAAGTCCAAAGCAGCCATTTGGTGGCACAGGCCACAGTCCACGGCACACCCAGATGCCACAGGAACGGGATGATCCGCGCGTCGATCGCCCAGCCGAACCTGAAGATCGCGACTGCGATCGAGACGTCCCGCAGCACATATAGACATCCTTTGAGTGTGTTCCTCTGATACAGATGCTTCGGAACCGCAGCACGGACTTGTGCGAGCGTCACCGCAGGAGGAGAGAAGGGGGTCCGCTTGCGGTGCTCGTACTCTGGGCTGTCTGCAAGAAAGGTGAACATGGTGGGCGACGAGGGTTTCGCTCCAGGCGTGGCTGCGCCTTTATAATCTGCACGCACAAACTCATCGTCTGAAGCTACCATTCGGATCATGGGTCTGCTTCTTCTCGGGATTGGCAGGCTCAGTTCAACACGTGGCTCAAGCGCATGCAGATCACGAGAGATCGGCGCTCGTTGAATTCGCGGCAGGCCAGAGCGGGCGGTCACGCCGGAAGCGATCTGGTTGATATTCTCCAACGTTGATATTGCTGGCCATTCAAATGTCGGCAGAGAGAAAATGGCCAACGAGAGTGCCAGATAAGCTTTAGATGGTTTAGGTGTTAGGGCAAATAAGCCAGTAGTGAAAGCGAAAAGTCAAAAATACTAGACGTTATTACACACACCGCAATTCCTTTCGGTGGTGCCCCTGTCTCTTGTCCGGTCAATCGGGGCGGGAGCCCAATCCACGCTCAATCGAAGGAGCATGCGAGCTGGACGCATGTGCTTGGACGAAGGTCTATTCCGATGGGCGAGGAAGAACTGGCCTCTGGCGCTCATCTAGGATTTTCTGTGGTTCTAGGTTCCATGACGGCACAACCTGCAGATCCACAGGTCGTTCACAGCGGCGGTATGCTGAAGCTTCACAGTGAAACTCAGGCGGCCAAGGGACTGGCCTTCGGCGCCTTTGCAATTGTAGTGGTTCGTTTGACCGTGACGCATCCGAGGTAAGCGGCGTGAGCGGAAGCTTGAGCGCTTCAGCATTAGACAGGATGTGTCCTGAAATCTGGATTCAAGTGGTGGTGATAGGCAACAAGCTTGAGAATCAGTGACCAGTCCAATCGCATGAGAGACTACGAACTTCGAAGGTTTAGAAATCGGGAATCAGTTGCTTTGTCATAATCACATGCGTAAGCACCTTTACTGGAGGCCGCCGCCTGACATAGCGGTTATCAATCGCCCCTCGACCGTAGATTCATCTGATTTAAATATTCGGCTTCATCACCGCAAAGGCCCCGTCCGAACTCTGAAATTCCTACACTCACGCACAACAAGCATCCATGCCTTCTGTCGTCGCAAATACTGCCGGGTCAAATGGAACCACCAAGCCATGGAGAGCGGTCGAAACCGTGGGCATCCCCCCGAGAACGACCTTCGCTTTCGACGCTATGGAGGATGCTCTGGCGGCGTTTGAGGCCGGAGAGTTTCTGGTGGTCATGGATGATGAGAATCGAGAGAACGAGGGCGATCTCATAATTGCTGCAGCCCACTGCACGACCGAAAAAATGGCATGGATGATCAAACACACCAGGTGCGCAACTAACTGGCGGATGTGTGAATGCATTCGGTGTACTTAGCTTGTAACAAGTGGCTACATCTGCATCGCACTCCCAGGGGACAGACTAAAGGAGCTCGACATCCCGATGATGGTTCCGGATAACCAGGAGAGACATCGTACCGCATACACGGTCACGGTCGACTACAAACACGGTGCGTGTCCCGCCATGCGCTCTACTCTCACATACCGAACGCGCGCACAGGAGTGACCACCGGGATCTCTGCGGGAGACCGAAGCCGCACCGCCCGGGCTCTCGCCTCTCCGTCTTCCGTCCCGGCGGATTTTACACGTCCGGGCCACATGGTGCCCCTGCGTGCGGTGGAAGGCGGCGTTTTGGCACGAAAGGGCCACACGGAAAGCGGGGTCGATCTGTGCCGGCTCACGAAGCTGCCTCCCGCAGGTGTGCTGTGCGAACTCGTGAACGACGATGCGCAAGGGACGATGGCTCGCCGCGACGACTGCAGGGCGTTCGCCGATCGCTGGGGGCTTAAAATGATCAGTGTAGAGATGCTGGCCGAGTGGAGGAGGACACATTGATCCCAAGCTAAGAAATATTTATGATCCAATTTATCAATAAGGTATGCACACAGATATGGGTATAACGTATATCAGGAAGGCACGATATTCACTGAATCCCCAGGCGAAAATCCACATGTAGACGTCGCATACGAACTTAATCGGAATTTATGCTTTGCTTGGGGTCTTTCCAAGGGACCACCCGACCTGCAGCTAGTGTGAGCCGCTGCAGCCTGGCATGAGCATGTTCGACAGACACACCTTCACCAGAGTCTCGACGGGGACCGCGGAGTTCGAAACGAGATCATCGTCGAATCTGCCGCGCTCCATGAGCATCTTTGACAGCAAACAGGCACGCAGCTTACGCAATGACGCCCTTGGGGAAAAGGACCACAACGGTGCTTCCGCCGTACGCAAAATACCTGTAGAAAGGAAATGAATACCACTCAGATATGCTTCGACAATGCGCGCACCCCAGTTCTTCGCCTTGCTTGATCGTCTCTCCTGGCTCGCCGCCATTCGTCCAACGGATGCTTCCAACCAGAAGCGCACCAATCGCAACGAAAGCAACGGGGAGGCCGGTACCGCTGTGAGTTAGATAGAGAACCGAACGGGAGTTGGCAGTGAACACATCGAAACCGGGTTCGTTCACCGCCTGTGGATTCACGGTGTAATACTGTCCGGGAATGTGCACCGTCTCCCCAACGGTACCGTCCAACGGGGAGTGGAAGCGGTGGTAATCAGATGGTGCAAGACGGAAGATAGCCAGACTGGATCCTTCAAAGGTGATAGCCTTCTCGGAGTTTGGCTCGACGCCAAGCAAATTGGGAACGGTGAACTGGCGACCTGTACATGGCCAAATGAGACGCGGAGAGGAGCAGGGTGGAGTTGCAGTGACCTTTGACCCAGAATTCTTTGGCCAGATCAATACTAGGATAAACAGTCAAGCGGCAGTCTGCTGCGCTGCAGAAGGCCGAGGAGTCCCCAGGATGGGCAACAGGTCGTGCGTCAGATTTGAGTTTGCGAAAGAAGAACTCATTGAAGGTCTTGTATTTGGAGAGATCGGGCTCGAGCAACTCGTCAGTGCTGAGTTCATACGTCTTCACGAAGGAGGCGATGGAAGCCGTCGACTCGGGGCTGTCATATACTTTGCCCTCCTGATCAACTCGGTGAGTCAAGAGAAAGGGCCAGTGTTGGGAGTGCCTGACCTTGATTGACTGTTCCCGAAGAAGATCCTCGATGTGCTGCCAGTGAAGGACCTTGATCTGGCCGCTACCGTAGAACAGGAGGTGCATCCCGATTCTACGACCAGGTTTAATTGACGCTTGAGCATACATCACACACACCGAACCTGGCATAGATGGGCATGGCTTCGAAGATCTGGTCCTTCGAGCCACGAATGGCGACGAAGTTGCCAATGTGATAGGCATTGGCAAGTTTCTCGATACCCGGTATGAGCTTGTGAATCCACGGAATGGAGAAGATGGTGTGAGAGCTGGCATGAATCCCCTGGGATACATCCGTGTGGTTCGCACTATGGTCGACGAGAGCCACAAGCCCCTCTGCAGCCTGGTCGGAGGTGAGATGAGGAAGGGTGTTGTTTTCCGGGTGGATGTTCTCGATGGGCTTTTCAGGAAGCGGCATGTCGTCTTCAGAGATGTTGGTGGCGCGAGAGAAGGGGTATAAGGAAGCGAGGCAAGACGCCATACTTAAATCTGTTGACCGTTGGAGAAGAGTTGAGATCAGATGTGCCAAGAATAGCACTAATTGAACGCGTGACGTGGTGCCAAACGCGATCAGGTGACGTGTTTCATTGCGTAAAGTCCCACTCTATTTGAGGAAACGCGCGAGATTTTCTCAACAGGAACATCTACTCTGAAGAGTTCCGAATCAGAGTTTTCTCGCATAGACAGGGGGCTTAAAAGTGGGTGTAAAAAGATATGTTAGGGCGCACTGCTTGATGGATCTATTTTTGGCTTCTTTGTAGGTGCGTCATTGACGACCTTCTGGCTCCCGGGTTCCTGATTGGACTTGGAGTCGGAGCACCTGGCTGCGGGTATCTCGACCGACCACGTCCCGAGATTCGGGAAACCCTCTGATCATGGCCATCACGATCCAAGGTGCTAAACTCATGATGGAATCGCATCTCGATCACATGATGTGAGTTGAACGCCTGGTCACGCGTGACAACAGCAGACTTCCTCATTGTACCAACTTCCCGCACATCCACTGGCAAGGCCGGACGACAAATGACGGCCGCATTTCTGGAACTATACGAGGCCTTGGATGTCGTTGGAAACGGCTCCTTTGGTGTCATTCGGAAGGTCCGCCGGAAAACAGATGGCGTAGTACGTGCTGCGAAATCCGGTGGCAACATCAACTCACCTCACCACCAGATATTCGCTCGCAAGGAGCTGAACTTTGAGCGGATGAGTGAACGGGACAAGAAGCAGATCGTGGCTGAAGTGTGGGTAGTTCTGCCGAGCTGTGATACAGAGCACTGACGGATTTCTCCAGAAACATTCTGAAAGATCTTCATCATGACCATATCGTCCGCTACCACGACCGCTCGGTGGACCGCGATGCCGGCACGCTTTACATCATCATGGAGTTCTGTGGTGGTGGCGACCTCTCCTCCGTGATCAAACAAGCTATCAAGCACAACCGGCCGATCGCAGAGGATGCCATCTGGAACTACTTCATGCAAATTCTCTTAGCTCTGAACCACTGCCACAACACGGGAGGACACGGTAGAACCAGTAGCGCTGGTAGCACTGGTGATATGGAGAATAGAGAGAAGAGGGCACAGATCTTGCACCGCGACTTGAAGCCGGACAACGGTGCGTTTGTTTTGTTCGCTAAAGCAGCATGCACTAACATACAGTGAAGTTTTCTTGGATGAGTCCAATACCGTCAAGCTAGGTGACTTTGGGCTTTCCAAGGCCCTCTCACAGGCAGCAAGTTTCGCGAACACCTACGTCGGAGTGCGTTTCAGAGCGTCCCTGCTTCTTCGAAGCTGAATCTCATGCAGACACCTTACTACATGTCGCCGGAACTGATGCAGGAAAAGGCGTATGACTCCAAATCCGACATTTGGTCATTGGGATGCTTGATCTACGAGTTATGTGCGCTGAAGCCGCCTTTCCACGAGGCAAAGACGCTTAGTGAGCTGAGCATTCTTATTCGGCTAGTAATTTTCTTGCTCGGATGGGATCTGTTCTGAGTCATTAATAGGAGCGGACGAATCCCACCTTTGCCCCGAAACTATTCACAGTCGCTGTCGTCGATCATCAAATCTATGCTCAACGTTAATGTACCACAATCTTTGCTCTCCCGAAGAGATTGCCTTACTGAATGACATCAGCCAGCCATGCGTCCATCTGCGGCACAGCTACTTCAGCACGAAAGAATCGAGTTCGCACACAAAGTCTCGGAAACTGAAAAACTGTCAGTTTTGCATTTTTTCACATGTCGTGTGCTGAGGTTCATCCAGGCTGAACACCATCAAAACGCATCGTTCGAACCTTACTGCCAAAGAACGAGATCTGTGTACACGAGAATCGGCGTTGAAAGAGCAGGAGGCTCATATTGCTGAAGCAATACAGCAGCGGGACGGACAGATTCATCTTCTGCAGACCCAGCTGCACGAATGTCACATGGATATGAACTCACGACCCAACATTTCGGATGTCAATATGGCAGTGAAACAACGCGAGGAGGAGCTCCGAGTTCTCGTTTTGAAACGTGAAGAGGAGGTCAGCCAGTCAATGCAACGACGAGAAGACGAAATAATGGAGGCGATCCGGCGAAGGGAGGCGGAGGTTTTAGATGCTTGGAGCAAACGCGAAGAAGTGTTGAGGGAAGAATTCCGTCTAGCATTAGCTCAAGAGCTTGAGGCGCGATCTGGGATGTTTGAAGAACGGGAATCAGATCTCCTTCGAAGAGAGGCTGCTATGAAAGAGGATGAAGAGCGAGTCGACTCTGCGAAGCGATTATTGGAGGAGAAGGTCAAGGTTTTAGACGAACAGATGGCCAACCTGTCAGGTGCGCAAAGCATACTTCCTATGCATTCCCCGTGTTCATTGCGAGCCTTCAGCGTCAAAGAAGGATCGTTCTCCTCTTGACGAAGTTCAGAACATCCTGTCCCGTGCCGCACAGCAAGTCACCCCGAAGGTATCCGCAGCATCCAAACCTTCGATGAAGAACCAAACGCCTTGTCCCGTCACCGTAACTCCTCTGCAACGAAGCTCGACCCACAAACTGAAAGAGCTGTTTCAACCCTCGGCAATGAAGGGCGTCGTGCTGACCAACACGGGCGAGGTTTTGACGACACCATCACCAGCAGAGTTGGCTAAGATGTTCGACTTGAGCCGAAGATTCGAAGACGAGGTGATGGCATCGCCCAAAGTTGGCCTGAACTTCGCGCAAGTTTTTGATGGGGACAAGAAGGATGCAGGCCGAGGGCTTGTGCAGAAACTGAGGGAGACAGCCTTGGAATCGGAGAGTGAAGCCGAAGATGAAGAAAGAGAGACGATTCGGAGGACGACACAAGTGCGCAGGCGCCGTGAATCTGGAGCTGATGTCAACGGTGAAGGCTCAGCACCTCCGACGCGTCTCCGGCGGCCATCTATCCGCACTTCTGGCCGTCGTTCGCTCGTCCCGAGTACTGTCTCGGATTCGGAAATCGCGACCACGTCCACGTCAACGACACAGTCAAAACCTAAAGCAAGACCATTACCGCATCCTCATCTTGCAGCAACCGGCAGCACAGCCTTCCCGACAAGATCGAATACCGCGCCAACATACGATATGGACGACGACGAGAATCTACCGAGCCCGTTCCTGAAGCGAACGGAACGCGTCGCCGCTGCAGCCGGAAGTGCCGCGGCCAGCGTGGGTGCCGGCGCTGCTCGGAAGTCGCTCACCAAGCGGCCCAGTGGAGGCAATTTTCTAAGAGTGGTCGCGGCCGTGAATTCGAGTGCGACCAAGCGCGGGACTTCGGTGGTTAGGGCCTGACTTTCTACCTCACCTTTATATTCATGTTCACGTATCTGCATGCCTTTTCTTTCACGAGCACTATATGATACCTTTATGTACATCAAATCGCATTTGTCAGGAGCATGGGAGGAATCAGCGATCAATGAGCTTTCATCGTGTGACCTGAACGCGTTTGAGTGCCTATCCTGACCACCATGCCTCAACTGACCCTAGCACAAGCATTCGCCCGTGCGCCCGCTAAGAAAGAACGATCGGCCAAGAAACCGAGGCTCGAAGACACCCCGCGGCAGGTAAAATTCTCGCTTGAGGCGTCGTCATCGTCGAGCCAACCGGCCACACCCTCAAACAAATCTCGGGCGCCTAGGCACGCAAGAGAGAAGATCCTTTTCGGGTCGCGAGGGCCTCACCCAGAGCTTGACCAATTTGCGCTGCAAGAGGTGGAACACCTGGGAGTTAGATGGCCTACCTCACAGCATCTCTTCCAAGGGCTCAAGGTTCCGGCGTCATCTCTCAGCAGAGCGCTCAAGCGCTGACGTCCATAGATAGTTCCTTGGCATCCGACCCGATCTAGCGGAAGCCGTACGGAAGGAGGCGACTGCTGACGGGGCGTTCAAGATAGCACATGCCCACCAGAGCTCTGCACGCTCCGATTGGCTCTCTGTGAACATATCCATGGTACGACCGACGCCGTGCGCACGCGACAAACGGATTGATTTCTTCAGATGGAGGAGGCACTGTTCCTCCGATTTTCTCAACATGCGGCTGCGAAAGCCGTGCTGCTCGCGACGGACGATGCCGAGTTGTATCAAGATTCGACGACAGACTCGTTCTGGGGTGTTGGCTCTGATCTTCTCGGCTCGAATGAGTACGGACGCGCGCTGGAGCGTGTGCGAGAACGTTTGGGTGGTTTGAAGACGCCGACGAGGACGATAACACAATGCAAGGTCCGAGTTGGGTCGTGACTGATCCTGATAATTGAATCCTTACGGCCTTGGACGTAGAACTGTGGCAAAAAACCGCGGATAGCAGAGTCTTTATACTGTGGCACTGTATGTCTCAAAGCTGACATTATGCACATCCCTCCTCTTTGCCCTGTGAGTTAATTTTGGACGCCATTTCGCAACTGACCCATGATCAGCAATGCCGGCGACGTCCACAGATCGGCAAACTAGGGTACTGCGGGCAAACTTGCTTGATCAAAGCCACGGCCAAATGATATGCAATGTTACAGATGTAAATACAGAGAGCAAAGTTTCATAGCGGGGGTAGCGGCCGACGACACTGCGGACATATGTTCTTGATCGCAAGCCATCTTTCCAGACAATCTGTATGCTGCAATCGACAGATCAGACACTGCAGCTGGAGATCTGAGCAATTCAACGCACGAAAAGGTGATGACAAGGAGCGAGACTGTAGTTTTTCCGCGCGGAGACATTCTCGACACCGATCTGCACAGCGCTCATGATGCTGCCAGACTTGTCCTGGTCCAGGGACCGTCCGCGCTCAACCATGATGGCATCCATGCAGATGGAGCAGTCTCCCAACGAGGACTGCGCCGACTCCTCGTCTGGGTTTGGAAAAACTGGATGATAGTCGTAACGCTGTACGACCCCATACTACGAGCTCCATCAGCATGTGAACTGTACACCGCGGGATACGAACCGATCGCGGAAGGAAAAACGTAGGCCCCAGACCAGTATCCTGGAGCATCACGACAAGCATCTGGGTGCAGATGAGTAGAACAAGTATGATGACCCAAGCTGGAAAGAGTCAGTCACTGCACCGCAACTGTCAGATTCGATTGAGACTTACGACGAGGCTCGATGTCCAGCACATTCTTGGGGCAAAGCAAAAAGTCTGCAGGCAATCAGAATCAGCATGAGAGTGAGAGAAGCACAAACAAAGCAGCATATAGAGCCGACAGACGGTCGTCCCGATCAGGTATTCATTGGCGAGCCCACTAGACCTCCCTCGTTGGACAGAGCGAACGATTTGAGGCAACCACAGGGAGGAATACGAGACAACCACAAAGATCATGGACATGGTGGCCGACAAGATTGTGTGCACAATCAACGTCAGAAAAGCGAACAAAAGAATCCCTGCCAAAGTTGTATAAGTGGCTTGCCACGTGAGGACTTGGAAGAAGCGCACAAAGTCTCAGCTGCGGATCCGTGCGCAAGTGATGGATGAGAAACGCGAGGAAGGATGGCTGTGCTGGGGGCGCAACTGGCTGCACCGCAGGAGGAGAAACTGTTGGCTGAGGGGAGCCTATCTCCGGGGCTGGAGAGTCCACAACAGGCACCGGTGCAGGTGCATTCTCAGGCGCTTGGAATTGTTGAATCAACATGGCGAATTGCTCGAAGATGATCAGCACCAAGGGATACCGATTAGACTTCCAGAGCCACGCACTGCTTCATGGGCAAACAAGACACAAGCCAGAAAAGCGGGGGCGATCAATGACAACGAAGGTGTCCCGGAAGCTACCAGCGCAAAAACGGTATGCCCAGCGAAAGAAAGCGAATCGACAGTTGCTTGGACTAGAAATGTCCAAAACGAAAGACGCGAGATCCCCGAGGGAGTCCGGCTGCGTTGCATTTGACGGGACAACAGGACGAGCATGACCAGATATGTGATCGCAGTGGTTCCGGCGTCTAGGGTATCTCAGAAAAGCTGAATCGAACGAGATATGATAATACCCACAAGTTGTAAGTTTACGAAAGAGTGAATGCAAGCTAGCCTGCTTGAGAAAGAGCAAACAACATCAACGCCAGATCACTCACCCAACCCCGTCAGTTTTGTGGAATTGGTATACGATACCACAATTCCTGCTGAGGAGAAGTCCGCGAAGGGTCATGGCTGGCGGTGTCACGGTCCATGCCCCAGTCGGATGCTGAGTCTCGGCTTCCAGTTCCCTCAACAGCCGTTCAGGGACCTTGACTGGATCCAGTGAGAGGTAAAGCGAGAAAGAACATTCGGTCTTGGCGGAATCGTCTAATATTGTTCACAATGGTGAGATGCCAGCTTCTGATGTGCAGGGTGCCCTGACCTGCAGCGGCCTCTGGCTCGATGACTCCCGCGTCAATCAAGTTTCTGAGCTTGGCGACACGTGAGGCAAGTTCTGGTTCAACGACATGAGCCGTATGGTTTCGAGATGAGGCCGGTACAATCGAAGGTAGATAACGGATGTCAACGTGCTGACTATGAAACTTGAATATGACGTTGAAGCGGGTCAGAACTCTCACTCACCCGATGCCCTCCGCGATCGCGTACATTGTGCCGTTCTCGGGATAGTGGATCCCTTCGAATTCAAGACGAAGATCCCGTTCATTGATCGAATCGGTTAATTCCAGCTTACCCTTCAGAACGAAAGAGTCTACCACACGTCCCATAGAATGGATATATGGGTGCGCACATGAATGAGTGCAGTTCCGGAGAGCTGGGCCTTCTCTGCGAGACTGATGGCAACCTTGTCCGAGGCAGAGAAATTCCAATTCCCCAATTTGAGTGCGACTTCGCTCATGTTCGTCGCACCCATGTACTGTGTAGCCAAAGGCGTCAGAGCGCCGGGAGCGGTAGCATTCAAATACGGTGGTGTGATGTTGTAGAAAGAGACGTCCCCGTGAAATGTGCCGGTGGAATTAGAATAATAAGATGAGTGTTTGATGTCGAGCGCGGCATTCGATAAATTGAAGTAGGATAGCAGTGCAGGGATAGCGGGGCTCTGTTCCGGCTGAGAAGGTTTCGCTGTTGAGTGAAACGAGGGACGAAAATGCGTGAAACGCCACACACGAGACTAAAGTTAGAAGCTGTCCCATTCATCCAAGCACTGTAGTTCCCGAGCTGACGTTGAGGATAAGCACTAGGATGCACCAGTACATACAAACGAATGAACCTGATGCTCGAGAGTTTGAAGAGCGTCTTGATACTGGTGCTTCGCAAGGAATTCGTCTCCGTTGTGATTGGTGAGGAGGAAGAGCATGAAACTGATGAAGATGAAGTGCGGCACTGAGTTTCTCCGCTGGCCATTGGCAGCCTCAGGCTCCTGATCCTCTCTAGTCGGATTTGGATGCTCCATGCCTCGGGATATGAAGCCTGGCCTGGCGAATTCCAGTACGAGTCGCGGGAATCAATGTCGGCGGGAAACGAGGTGGACTTCGTCACACTTGCTGATGCTTGTTGATCCCGATCAAATTCCAACGTCACGAACCTTGACCAGAACCATAGACGCGTCGACCAACGACGAACGCGTCATGTCTCTTCGTGGGCATGCTACCGGCAGTAGGAGGTGGCAGCACTTCATTTCCGCGCTCGAACTCGCGATCCAGCGCTCCGCTCGGCGGTGGACGTACGCTAGGTCTGCCCACCCACAGCATGCACACCTCAACCATCTTCTATTCTAGCTCCGAAGACTTTGCAGAGTGCTTTCCAGAATTTGTCGAAGAAGATAAAGACCGTGCGATGCGAATCTACAATCAAGTGGCGGATTACATCGAGAGTGAAAACCAGGCGCGCCCTGTTGGTTGCATGTCTCTCAACTTCTGCTGAAATATCTCCCCGCAGCGGAATTTCGAGGCCCTTTTCAATGAATACGATTTACAAAACAAGATAGACATTCTGGATAAGATGGTGCGAGACGCCAAGACGAGGAAGGCTTCTGGGGACCTTGGTCCCGACGTCAGGTCAGATGAAATGCGACCTCAATCTGCAGTATATGGCAGAACGGTTCCGATATTGCGGGCTGAAATAGCGAGGGTAAGGAGCCTACATGCGAAGGTACGCTATATCTCATCCTAGAATCTTGTTGCTCATGAACTCGCCAGATGGAGGGCCAGAATCTGGCTCTCGCTGACGACCTCCAGGCTGTGGTCAAAGAAGGGGACATCCTGCAGAAACGGATTGACGATATCCTGGACAAAGTTGATGAGGTACGCCTTGTCTCAGTCTGTGTTGACGTCATTTCCCATCTCATCTGGCAATGAATAGGCGCATAATGCGTGGGAAAGTGTTCCGATGGAGGACGTCCATGCATGGACTTCTCAGGTGTCTGAAAAGACCAAACCGGTGTTGCGATCTTAGTCTTGTTGTACAGCATACGTCTTGTATCCCTTTTTCTTTGGACTATTCATGTACTTGTGGAACTCAAGAATTGTGATATTTTAAAGGGTCTCCAGTCGTTAGTTACCCTTAGCGTCCTCGGCGCATACCAATTTGTTGCTGCCTGTGAGTAAGGGCGGTTGCAACGACGCTCAATTACAATGGGCACTGTCCCCTACCCCCACCAAAACTGCTTAGACAATATCAAGATAGGACCTAGCACTTTATCTGAGAGGAAGCATGTGGGATGCACTTGTTCGACTTGAGGATTATTCACGCTTCATTTGACATTCATCTCCCCATCAAATCTCATCGACTGTGCTTGATAGGGCAAGATCGGCTAAAACCGCCAGACCGGACCGTAAACTGTCATCGCTGATCACTCATACGCTATGACATCATTCCTTGCTTGAAAGTACAGGCGGCTCACCAGGGCTGTCCCACTGGTCTTACCTTACACCCGCACCACCAGGCACTCGCTACATCCGCTGCTGCGGCCGAATAGATTGCTCCGGCCCAAGACAATAAACGGCTTACAGCCCAAGCCGACGATCCGGGGCCATCACTAATCAGTTTTTATACCCCCTCGATTTAGTTTTCGCTCAAACCCTCACGACACACTCACGAAGTCCAGTCTATCTCAAACGCCCTCACATTTAATGCTTTCTCCGCTACCCCTTACACTTGTCCTCTTGCTCTCCGATGCTCTCGCTTCACCAACGCCACCGACGAAGGGTCTCTCAATGCCCTTGAGGCGTCGGCCTCAGCCAAGGACCGGCCGCGACTGGGCAGCATGGGCTGAGAATGAACGTCACGGTCTCACATCGAAGTACGGTGGACAGGCTGTCAAGCGCAGCACTGGCACCAATTTGTGAGTGGCTATGTGCCAATCATGCCTCGCTCACTCACTTTGCACCAGAATAACGAATCAGGGTGCCGACTCGAGGTAAATTGAGACCCCCCTGTAAACTGCGCTTTGGCTTAACACTCCGCAGTTATTTCGGTTCTCTTGCGATCGGAACACCGCCAGTCTCATTCGACGTCATCCTAGACACCGGATCCGCGTGAGTTGGAAGTCCCCTTGTTATATCGATGATCTTCATGCCTCTCTCAGCGACCTCTGGGTTGCAAGTAGTACTTGCAACCAAGGATGTGATTCAATGGCCAAATTCGACTCCGGAGCTTCGTCTTCCTTCACAAACAGGAGCACGCCTTTCTCGATAACTTACGGAAGCGGTGCTGCGGCCGGCAATCTGGGCTCGGATGTAGTCCAAATGGCCGGCTTTTCCGTAGCAAATCAGGTCTTCGGAGTCTGCGACCAAGCGACAAAAGGATTGCTCACCAGTCCCGTGTCGGGCCTTCTCGGTCTCGCCTGGCAAGCGATCGCTTCGTCTCGGGCACCTCCTTTCTGGGAAACACTTGTGTCCGGTGGATCATGGGACTCTCCAGTCATGGCCTTCCAGTTGACGAGGCATGTGCCTCCATCCTTGTGGCAGTGGCTTCGACTGAACAGTCCGCTCCAGATTTCTGAACCAGTCGCGAAGCGGTAATCTCCAGGCTGGGGGATCGTTTACGATGGGTAAGCGCATCTCGAGTCCATGGTGCATTCCATTGATCGTTCGCAGGATTCGTCAACAACTCGCTTTACACTGGCCAAATTGAATATATCAATATGCCCACCGCCTTCAACTCGTATTGGACGCTTCCCATTACTGGTTCGTCTCTTTGTCTATTCGCAGGAGAGAACCATCTTCAACGTCTTGTCACAGACATCACAGTCCAAGGCGCCTCGATTTCGATGTCGTCTGGAACAAGCGCTTATGCTGCGATCGATTCGGGTACTACCCTGGTCGGAGGACCGGCAGAAGACATCGCCAACATCTACGCTCAGATCCCTGGATCGTCTCCTGGAACGGGGAGCTTTTCAGGTTACTATCTGTACCGTCAGTGATCTTTTTGTCGTGTGTCGTATGCAACTCAATGGATGATTTCTCAGCATGCAACACGGCAGTCTCCGTGTCGATCTCCTTTGGTGGACGCAGTTGGTCTGTTAGTCCGGCCGATTTCGAGCTCCAGGAAATACAACAAGGCACTTGCTTGGGATCGTTTTTCACTCTTCAGACCGGAAACGGGGCTCCCTCGTGGATCCTTGGCGATACATTCATGGTATGAATGCTCAGCTGCAAATGTGCGATTTTGAAGCTAAGGGATCATGACAGAAAAACGTTTACTCCGTCTTTCGCTATGACCCTCCGTCTGTCGGCTTCGCGACATTGTCCGACACTGCCCTAGCCATGAACGATGACGTCAATCTGAACGTGCCATCCCCGACGATTGGCTCTGTTTCTGCCGCAGCGACTGCCGCAGTCAACGGGCACAAGAGCGGCGCCATTTTCTCCCGACAGACTTCTGTTATCGCCATCGCGGCAGCTGCTATCGGACCATTGCTATACACGTTTTGTTAGAGTGGACTGCACTAATTCCAATGTAGCATAGCACATATACTTAGCCTCGTCGTATCTATATCTTCCATCCAACCCACATCACATACGGATTGTCAGCCGCAAATCCCGGTTCGACGCGCCATATCTCCCAATTGCCAAGAGACAGCCAGCCCTCCAAGAATGCCCGGGTCACATCATCCGCACGCAGTTCCATGACCACCAGGACGAGAGAACCAGAGTGATCGATGGCCGAGAGCAACGGTCCCACTAGTGATGGATGGTAGATGCAGTCTACGACCAGGATGAGATCGACGGGAGGATCATGGGGAGGAAACACGAGATTCCGTCGGGAGGCCGGAGTAGAGTGTAAAGTCTCCCAATTCAGTTCCTCGACGCGAACATTGGCGAGATTTAGAGTGGCATTCTTCCGTATCAGAGGCAAAAGTTCGGCAATATCTGTCGCCGTGTAATGATGAACGAATCGAGCAAGTACGACACTCAGTAGACCAGTCCCAGATCTAGCGACCAGTCATCAATAGAGCAGTCGTACTCGGGAGCAGTCACCCAAGCTCACCCCAATTCGAGAATATGGCTCCCACGTAATTCTTCGAAATCTAGCAGAGGCGACGATGCTGGTGAATATTGCTGTTGGAGTATCATCTGCGCAAAATCGACGCTGAAATGCACCGCGACGGTTTATTACCAGATGCAAGACAAATGATCATATATACCTGGCCTTCCAGACAACGGACCCTGTATCGCCAGTACGAGATCTGAGCGAAGTCTTATCCTGAGCCAACTCGACTTCGACAGTCTTTTCTCTAAGCGCGCCCTTTCTTCGTTTCTTCTTGACGTCGGACGGGAGATCGGGAGTTGTCAGATTGAAAGCGAGCGTCAATGTATCCGTATTCGAATCGAGATAGCCCAAGCCCCGGTGTTCATCTGACGGAGGGGGTGTTGGCCGGGAGTACAGGATGAAAACCTGTGTTTATCGTTTGAAAAAGTTCCGCAGTGGGGAGTTGCACGCGCATTCAACCTCTTCGTCTGCGTCCAACACACGCTCCGAGCCTTCAGGAAGATGTAAAAGTCTAGAATTCATGCTGGGACCCCTCAGTTGTATCTTCCCCTTGCAGAGTTCGCCCAGTTCGTCGAAAAAGGAGGAAGATTCCAGAGGTCATCTAAAAGCGGCTCGGCCCGAAAAGACGCGTGGCGGATATTGCCGCAAATAGTAATGCTTCATTCCGTTCTTCGTCGATGCACAAGTAACCGACTTTCAAGGCCATTCATTGGGCGCCTTTCTTTCTCCTCTTCCATCCCCAGACATACAGTTTTGGAGAAAATCCCTACAGTCTTTCCCTCAATACGAAATTCGACCACAACACCGAGTCTAGTTGCCAGAATCCGCCGTCAGCCTGTTCGACAGCAAACAATTGTAAGCTACATTCACAGCTCAGCCAGGCTGAGAATTGACTATAACCTCCAGTTCGTTGTGCTTGGATCGTTCTTCGTGTTCACATGGGCGGCAATTTCGACGAATCTTGAAACGGACGAATGGGTAGCGAGATTGACGCGTGGTCAAGGTTCCCGCACCTGGCCGAACACCATACGCTCAGTAGATTTGAAACGCGCAGCTGATATCTCCCTTGCTCAAGAACTGAGGGACAATCTCAAGAAGCTCGCGGATTCGACCGAGGGATTGCCGAATGTGATCAGGAACTTCGTGGTGTATGGGTATGGGAGTGTCGCGCAAGCATATCTCAACGTGACCGACGGGAAACGGTTATGCTGGAAGATCGGGCTACTCAATGTCGGAGTGTGGCTTGCATGGAGATCGAATGGCCTTCGGTCTTATATGCAACGTAATTTTGCGCACGACGTGTTGTCCGGTAAATCAAGGACTTTGTTGACTAGCATACTGAGGTATGTCCCATATCAACTCAATTTCTGCTCTCACGCGTCCTAGCTCGCGATACTCTGTCGTTCTTCTCCTGAACTTGCTCTTTCTGGATGGATTTGGTTGGTCTGCTGGGATGCTCTGTCCTTCCTCGATCTGAGTTTCCCGTCAGGTTCTTCGTCTTCTTTTCATATGACGAAACGAATGAATGAAAGTATCGGTGCTCCTCTGGAAGCCACGAGCGCATACCATTTTCTGGCATTCTTCGTCTCCGGTTCGTGCTTCCAACAACTTTGTGTGTGATTTTTACCGACTGCAATCGAAGCGGGGCTGTTCTCTGGCCTAGTATCCCACATTGTCCACCTCAAAATCATCTATCCCCGAATGATAGCTCGCCTTTCGAGACAGGATAGCCACTCTGCGTCGCGCCCAGACACTTGGGCCGCTGCTTTGCGTACCGCTAATGCACCAACCCCTCGACTGCGGCTTCTTCGCTTCTTCAGACGTTCAGAAGCCCCAGAAAATCCGTCGCTCATGCCTCGAGCTGGAGCCACGGGTGTGCTCTATGCCATGATGATGTTGACAGCCCTGGGTTTCCCTGACGCTGAGATCTCTCCATATTATCCACCCAGCTGGTCTCTACCCTTGCAATGGTGCATGTCCGTCATGCTCGTTTTTGATGTTGTTGGTATTTGGAGGGGATGGAAGTAAGCTGGCGATTTGCTTCGGATCGGAACCAGCGCTCACAATTTGGACAGGTTTTTTGACCACTTTGCGCATCTGGCCGGTGCTGCGTTTGCTGCAATCTACTATAACTATGGGACTCAGTTATGGATTTGGTTGCGCATTAACTCAGTAGACGAACCTCCATCCAAGAGTAGTCACCCTTCCCAGAGATCATAATCATCTTGATTCTTGATCATGTACTACTATCTGTCTTTTCTTCGACCGCCGCCGACGTCCTGTATTACTCCCTTCTCAATCACTCCCCAAATCGCGAATGATCTTCGAACGGAGCTTTATGAGGGCGAACAGGATATCTATTTTTCGTGGATCTCCGTCGCAAGTGGGGAAGAGACGCGGTCGATGAAGCTGACCACTTGGCACGGGCATGCGAGCGCATACAAGGAGATTCCCGTGCCCCTCCCGCGGTCGTCTACGAATGGCGCGTGGAGGCTTGCTTTGAAGGGCAGTGCCAACGCGCCGTTGGCCGTCCGCCTAGATGCGGCTGATGAGGTTGTATTATCTCCTCACGCGGTGGTTTCGATGCCCATTCTCTTGGGCCGGCCCCAGAGCTCCAAAATCAAGGCACAACTTCAGAACCAAATAGAGAGAGTCTATACATGGGGTGCGGACGAGGAAAACATCCACAGGGTCGTTGTAACGGAGCAGACCTCCTTTGATTTGGACAAGGTGAACGACTCTTTGGCCATCGTAGATGTGTCTCTGAAGAGGGCCCCCAGAAAATTTGGGACAGTGGAATTGGACTGAGCTCCTGGCTTGTTACTCATCCCCCGGCGTTTCTCAACTCTGTGGAACCATTGCGTGTAGTGGAACTGGGAACAGGCACTGGCATTGTGAGCATCGTTCTCGGAACATTGCGCCCAGATTTTCGCATCGTCGCGACAGATGTCGGTGAATACATCCTGTTCTCGACGCTGTCATTCCAACTGATACAGCGCACACACCAGATACCGCTATGCCATTGCTGCAGCACAACATCAAGCTCAACAGATCTAATGTTGAAGCGGCGGTACTCGACTGGGATGAGGAACGATTTCCGGACTGCGTGGACCAGTGCGAGGCGTTCGATTTGATCATGTGCGTTCCTGTTTCTTCGTCCGGCAGCACGTAGCAGCTCCAACGCTGTTTCCAGAATGGCAGATGTGACTTACAACACGGCCTCATTTCCATCTTTGGTCCAGACCGTGAAAGCGTTGGTCAACAAGAGCCCGAACAAAACACCTCAGATTATCTTGGGATACAAGGAGCGTGATCCTGGTGAGCGTGAGTTGTGGGGGATGATGGAGGCTGGTGGCCTTCATTTCCAGTCTGTAGGGCGAATCGTTGGAAGCGGTGAAAATGCTGTGGAGATCTGGCAGATGGCGTAGCCATGGAGAAATCCGTGGGAGAGATTAGAGGCCAGATCCTTGTTCTTCTTTCTCACTTCCAATCGCCACCAGCAAGCCTGGTCGTGGAGATCCCAGCAAGTCGTTTTCATGCATCGTCGATGTTTGTTCTCACCATTGCCGAGCAGCTATCTGCAACGCTGGAAATCGACGGCCTCTTCCGTCCCGCATCTTATGGCCATGTCCCACACAACTGCTATTCCCCTTTCCGTCACTCGGCAAAAGAGACGCGGGCCTCCGAGTCGCTTCTCCGCGTCACCAACTCAAAATCACCTCGAGATCAGAGAGAAAGCACCCTTTCGGGTCCCATTCTATCACTGTCCATCATCCACAAGCTCTACTCAACAGAAAGCGACAAAGCGCACAACTTCTAATACACTAGCTGTTAGCGCACGGCCTCCTCGTCCCCTTTCACACCGTGCGCCCAGGGAACCACCCACTGCTGTCCCCATTCGGCGCGGTGGCCAGTCTCGTCCAGTACCAACATCCGTCTCCTCACGGCAGAATAATACCCAGACTAAGCGTCACAAAGCTTCTGGTCGGCCGAGCGAGGCGACTTCATCTTACCGGGACACATCCTCTTCACCACCAGTATCCACTATTCCGGGTCAGCCACGGATCGCCAATGTAGCTGGTTCAGTGTCAAGCGTGACGAAGGTCGCAAGGCTTGAGAGCTCGCTCCCAAGCGACGGCATTTTGGTCCAAGCCGGCGTGAATTTTCAGTCAGACAGGCAAGATACACGAATTGAGCTAATGAACACACCGTTCGGGCAAAGACGCATCATAAGAGTTGTAGTTCCGCCATTGGAACAAGGCTTAAAGCCCTCCGCGAATCCTCAGATCCGCTCGGAGCTTGAACTGCTCCGTGCTCAAAGCCGAGTGGCAAGACTCAGCTTACAGACGGTCATATCATCTCACTCTTCCCAGATATTACAGAATGGAAATGCGTTGTTGTTGTGATGATATATACATGACTAGAGGTACAGTAGAAATATAAAGATAGACCCAGAGAAGAACAAGAGAGGATACAGGAAGGATGCGATGTTGTGGTGATATATACATGACTAGAGGTACAGTAAAAATATAAAGATAGACCTAGAGAAGAACACGCTCATGAACGCTCGCCGCGCAATCGCCGGGCGAGAGCAAGGTCTTTGGGCTGGATCGTCACTCGCTTCGCGTGGATGGCAGCCAAGTTCGTGTCCTCAAACAGCGAGACAAGGTATGCCTCGGCGGCCTCCTGCAGAGCCATCACAGCAGACGATTGGAAACGGAGGTCGGTCTGCGCAATGCATGAGAGACACCCAGAGAAAGGCAAGAAGCACAACACACCTTGAAGTCCTGGGCGATTTCACGCACAAGACGCTGGAAGGGCAGCTTCCGGATAAGCAGCTCCGTCGACTTCTGGTACCGACGGATTTCACGGAGTGCGACCGTACCAGGCCGGAAGCGGTGAGGCTTCTTCACACCTCCAGCGGCCGCGGCGGTTTTACGGGCAGCATTCGACTTTGCAGCGAGCTGCTTACGGGGCGCCTTGCCACCAGTGGATTTACGAGCTGAGAGAAGAGAAAAGAGGTGGTCAGCCACAGCGGAAGACACAGCAAGACAGCACACAACACACCAGTCTGCTTGGTTCGGGCCATTGCGTAGGAGAACTGGGATGGATTGTGTGGAGTGGCTGACTGACTGAATGGGATGTGCGGAAGGCAAGGGGCGGATGGAGAGAGCTGTCTGTTTGGCAGCGTGCTTTATACACACGCGGCGAGGTTGGATCACGTGTGACTCACGCGCGCGCGTTTGTTGATTCAACACGCAAACTCTCCACAGCCACCGCACAGCCACCTGTCTGTGTACAAAACTAGGGCAGTGGATCAGCGGCGCTCTCATCCGTTCCCATCAACGTTACCAGCGAGTAACCACCAAGCACACCACAAACCACAAACCACCAACTCATCCCCCCAACTCTTTATCAACTCACAATGTCTGGCCGTGGAAAAGGTGGAAAGGGACTCGGAAAGGGTGGTGCCAAGCGTCACCGCAAGATTCTTCGGGACAACATCCAGGGTGTGTGGTATTTGGAGAGACGTGGATCTTTGGGCTGATGGGTGTCTTGCCTTGCAGGTATCACGAAGCCTGCTATCCGGCGTCTTGCGCGTCGCGGGGGTGTGAAGCGTATCTCGGGTCTGATCTATGAGGAGACCCGTGGTGTGCTGAAGATCTTCCTTGAAAACGTGCGTGTATTGGGCAGCAGTTTGCACTGTGTGGATGCTGACGGCTTTGCTGCAGGTCATCCGGGACTCTGTGACGTACACGGAGCACGCGAAGCGGAAGACGGTGACTGCGCTTGACGTCGTGTACGCTCTGAAGCGGTCTGGCCGCACTCTGTACGGTTTCGGCGCATAGGCGTCTGGGCTCGGTCGTGTTTCTCCATTCTGTTGCATTATCATTATCTCTGTACTACATTGTATCATTTATCAATGCGATAACTCCCAGTGGCCGCCCTGTTGGCTCAAGCAACTATCTTCATTTCATGCCTCTGATGTGAGCTTGCTTTGACCGTGCATGCTGTAGAGACCGGCGCACTTGCGTCCATCAAGCGTCGTGCCAAGTGGCCACTTTACATGCGATCCACTGGAGAATCGATTCCAATCTGAGCGATCCGATAAGTTGGTATGAGGTCCGGAGCAGAGATAAGCAGTAGGTACGACTTTTCTGCCGTGGATAGCAGTGCTCAATTCCCAGGATGATACTATTCATGCCGTGGTATATTTAAGACAGAAAACGCGTCATGATGAACTATATTGCCACTGTACCTGTCTGATGGCGACCCGGGGCGTCATCTTAATTCTCAGGCAGTAGTTGACCTGAGAAAAAACTGGAACTGAGGGTCAGAGGTGGCCAAAATGCCCGACTGAGAGCAATGGGACTGGACAACGACTACTCAGTTCGGATTGTCAAATACTGCCCTACCATTGACGCGCTCCATGCGCTACCAAACACCACTTCAAGCCAGACGCGCACTTCAAGCCAGACGCGATTGATTTTGTTGGAACCGACGGGGAAGCAGGTCTGTTAAGCACAGGTGGATAGATTTTGGGGTCATTGATGGAGGGTTGTCGTTTTCATAGAAACAAGGGCCTGTCGAAATTCCAGAAAGTCGGGCTAGAGCGGTGGCGCTTGGTCTTCATGCCTTTCACTTGGCACATATGGTAGGTTACTGTCCGAAACAGCAGCGAGGATCTTCGACACAACGTAACCGAAAACCAATGACTTCATTTGAGCCTGCTGTCGGCCATCCCCAGTGTCGAAAAGGAGGCCGTTTCTCACAGAGTACTCCGACGGCCGAGGAGAAGTGAAGCAGAGAGAGATAGAAGTGGCTGAGAGATGACTTGACATGACGCACAGTGGCTGACGGTGGTTTGAGAAACGCAAGTTGACCAACACCAAACAATGCTGCACAGCATTTTACGCGCTCTACCACTATTCGATCACGCTCGCGTCCTGGTCCCCCGACCACGCGCCAGATGTCCGACCACTTCAATCTCGCGCCCCCACTTGTTCCTGCTGGCAAGTCTGGGGATCTTCTCGCGAGCAATCAGGCCTTGGCGTCGACTTTCTCGCCATTAGACAACTCATTCGCCGTCTTCCTAACCAATGCTGTAACATCACCGCCGTCGCTTTCCTACCGGCCTGCGCTGATTACATGCATAAGCCCGCGAAGCTACCAGAAAAGCGGCCCCCTGACGAAGAACAGCCTGTCTACTTTGGGGGTCTAGATGAGATACCATCTGCCGAGCGAAGAATGGTGTGTTTCCTTCCCCATGCCCATCGCCGCGTGTATGTATTAAAGTTTCAATCCAACACAGTTCGTCACGGACTCGTCGGTCATCTTCAGTCAATTTCAACAATTGCTTCAAACAGCTCGTGCCCACGGTTCGGGATGGTGCGTTATACACGCTGTGTTTGGCATCGTTTAGGACAAACGTATGCGCAGGATGGACGAGGACGAGAATTACGCAGCGGTGCGGCAGTTTGGTGTCGAATACGTGGCCTTTATCAAGGATAGCTGGGTGCTTGCGTCGGTCAGGATCATTCCTCTTCTCATGACGAAGCTCCGACTGACCCCAGTTAGCAACCTGCCTTGCGACCCGATGGTCCACTTCAGTTCTCACCCGATCACTATCGTATCCTCTGCACCTGCTTTGCCATATTTGTGCTGGTATATATGCCCGAACCAGGTGCAGATGGTGCACCGGTTGGGGAAGAACTCATGGAGTGGCTCAATATACATTACATTGAGCCTTCGACAGAAGAGGGTGATCATCTTAGCTCGCTGGGATCCCCTTGGCAAGACGAATCTTTCTGGCCGTATCTCACCAGGTGCGCAATCACTGACGAACTGTCGCACTCTCAATTGATATCTTCATGAGGGCGACTATTCGGGGGCTGTCCAAAGCATCCGAGTTTTTCTTCAAGATTCTCTCCAAACATCCATCCGAAGATTTACAAGAGCTGGCAGAGAGCATGGCCAGTCTTGTTTCGACTCAACCCCGGATTTCTAACTTTGACGTCGAGCGTGACTTTGCATACGCTTTCCGCCGATGGAGGGACAAAGTGAAGGCCGTGCGAGTCGAGATGGAAAAGGTTCCCCAATCTGATCGATCCGACGAGTACGAAAATTGGTGGGACCGGTTGAGTGACATCGTTGGTGTCCTGGAGGGTCGTCCCGAAGTGGTTCAGCGGGTGTGCGAAGAACTCGGTGCTGACTGGAAAGAAGTCTGTGCAGCTTGGGGTGTCTTTGTTGACCCAAGGCTCCGGCGGCAGGACATTCCGTGAGTCTGATGGTGACTCCGATATCGATAAACGCGTCTCACACGGGCAGTGATGTTGTCGGACGAATCCTCGAGGATATGCCGCCTGACCCGACCAATCGAGAAGACATGATTCACGCTGCCTTCCTCGGGGGAAAACCTATCCAAGCCCTTGAACACGCCTTCCACTTGGACCGATGGTTGTCGGCTCATCTCGCAGACATCATGAGTCCGCTCTCCATCCTCGGTACCATTACGGGAGAAGAGTGAGTTACGTGCTATTGACGACCCTTGCGGTACTGACGAGAAAAGAACAGACTCTCTCTCCGGGATCATTACATACTGAGCTACGCAGAATATCTGCACGCCGACCCAGCTCTATGGCGGATAACCGTCGACTACATGTACACCTGCCAACATGTTGGAAAAGAACGCGCCGACCACGTGCTGGTCCGCGTTCCGCTGAGGTTGAACCAGCAAAAGGCGTCTGGTCTTACCGATGGACTCAGTGAAGGCGAGATACGCGACGGAAGTGTCGTTGGAGTCTTGAAAGATGTTAATCAAGCCTGCTTCGAACATCGGAGAGAGTCTGCTCGTAGGACTGTCTGTCGGGCGAGTTCAAAAGCACCACTCTCTCGCTCGTCCAATATTCATCCGTTGTCCAGATTGCCGCACAGACGTTTGTCCGCGAAAAACACTACGGTCTGGCGGTCTCCTATTCATCTTCAGCTGAAGATTGGCAAGGTCTTGGCCGTATCGTCGACCGTGTTCTGGATGAGTACATCATCAGCGGTGAGCGGCAGCCGTTCCCGGATGTTCTATGACAAGGACTGAACGGATCAAAGGGCCGGCGAGCTTCGCCGGATTCGCTTCAGACATCGCACCGTCACTGCAGAGCCTAAGTGTCAAGGATGGATCAACGCATGGGGTCTTCTTACATCGCCTTGTGTTCGCTGTCCGTTACGCCAACTTCTTGCAGCTGTGTAACCGACAGGAGCTTCAAAATGCTGCGTCGGACATCGTAGCCATGTTTCGGGATGATGTTGCGCCCAAATCCTGGTGGGCCGTGATGCTGTACGATTCGGTCGAGCTTTTGCGTTACGGTGAGCGACACTTCTTTGACATCGATCTTTCTAAAAATTGCCAGGCCCGACGCTTCTCTTCTCGACTTCTGGGGCTACGGCGTTACTATGCAAATTGGAGGAGATTTTCACAAGGTCTGCGCAAGGCGCTGGCAGTGATTATCTGGATATGTTCGCTCGAACGATCCGAGGGGCTGGCGACAAGGAGGCATTGGACCGATTGAAAACCGTCCGACTGGCTCTGGCCAAGTATCTGGCAAGATCTGCTGTACTTGGTGCTTGACTTTTCATCCATGTACCTCCAGCACGAAAATTTCCCACCCATTCAATGGCAAACAGACTGTTGGGAATGTATTTGGATTCTACTTTTGTCGAAATCAAATAGAGAACCACCCTCGGTGACGATTACTGTTTATTACTCTGCTTGAGAGGGTAGCATGTGTCCTCCAGGGGCCAATGCATGAACGATCAACAGAAAGCTCGAATGGTGCACCCACGGATCCCGGTAGTGCCAAGGAGTCGGTTCGGTGTCCAGTATCTACTTAAGCCTTGTTCGTCAGTCAAGGGCTCACCCATTCGACATGTGCCGCAAATATCTCTACATGACTGAACACTCTTGCGCTCATCAGCTGGCCCAAAGCCGTGTCCAAGTCACTGCCCAGATATCTTTGCATATGCAACGGATCGCTTATCGTCGACACAGGCCGACTGCAAAAGCCCGCGATGTGCCCTGAGCAAATACCACGACCCGAATCCCCATGATTGCCCGGGCACTTGCGCTCAGCAGTGCGTTGGTTCCTCCGCTCCTCCGATGTAGAAATTGATCCGGGGCGTGCTCAGACTCCAGCCTCCTGTCAGAATCGTCGTGGAACATCGCGGGGGAAGCTGTGATGAATGTGCACTTCGCTAGCCGTAGCTTACAGTGCCTATGCTATGGTCTTTCTCTCGCGTTCACTTGATGGCTAGCAGAGATCTAGGGTGACGCATTCACTGTCTGCTCCGGAGCTAGAGGCTCTCCGCCTGATTCCAGCCTCGGTGGCATTAACTCAATCTTAGGCAATCTGGGTCCCGGATCAGCACTCGCAGAATTTCCGGTGCTGATCCGTTGCTCTGCGCGCCCACATGACGTCAAAATTTGTAATCAGCTGTCAATCCTTGTCCGGGAAATGAGTTCCAGAATCATGTCGCAAAATCGTGGCCGATGCTGGTTGAGTCGTCGAACTTCATTCCTGCCCCGTCGGCATCAGCTCTTCACCTTGAGAGTTTACTGATAATAGCCCATACTCGTGCCCACGTTTGGAACCTCTTGATGTCTCTTTTCCGGCTTGCGGATCATCGATTCGTCGACTCGCGCGTGCGGACACAAATCGCAGATAAATGAGTGGGACGAGGAGAGCACTCCCAAACGTCGATTCAGGAACGAAAACTCCCTGAACGTAGAGCACTAGAATATGCAAGCTTTCGTGACTTACCTCAAGGCTCCCGATGCGAGCTTGGACTCTCTTCTTGGATCTGGGTCTCACAGTCCCCGGGCCTGTGAAGGAGTCAGGACAGTGTTCTCAAGTCATCCGAGAAGCTGGCACTACTCGGCTCATTTCCCGACACATCAGATAATGTAGGCGACACTCATGGAGAAGTGTATGGATTGGGAGAAGAGGAAGCGAGGCACGGTGGGAATATGATCATGCAGTAAAACAGCCGAGTGACCTCGATTTGAATAGAAAATTTAGATTGTAAAACATCTTTCCTTGCGACCGCCATTTCTCTCGGTACATCAAACATGGGGTTCTGCTACAACGATGGATGCCTCGAGGCGGCAGAGCAGAGGTGCTCGAACTGCAAAGAAGTGACATATTGCGGTGTCGCCTGCCAGAAGGAAGGTGCGCTTGTCTCTCAGTATCCGTCGGGCAACGAAGCATGACTGGCGCAAAGCATGGTCTCATCACAAATATGAATGTGAGATGAAGCGCATCTGTCGGGAAGCACAGGAGGGAAAAGAAGACCAGTCTCCCGGGGGGAGACCGCCGACGACCCACTGCACCGGGTGCAATATAAGATACGACGACGAGAGGGATATGCCTGACTCTGAATGCCCCGACTGCGGATATTCTGCTTGCGAAAACTGTGCTGTCGATCACAGTCAAGGTACTGGACTGTGCACGCATTGCGACATGAACATATCGATTCATTTGCCAAACAGGATCGTGCTGGTGCCAGAACTCGAATTTTGGAAATCTCTACTGCGAGATGGGTGAGGTCCATCCCTCGGTCTTAGAAATTCCGGCTCACATATCACCATCCAGAGCCAGCTTGGTATCATATGAGCTCCCGCACTGGAAAAGCGTACCGCGGCGACAGACATCCGTACTTCGACACCCGTGATGCCGACGCGTTTGAAGACAAGGCCAGGATATGCGGAAACTGTGGCGAGGTGCAACGGTGTTTGAAATGACCAAGAAAGGCTGTCTCGTTGAATAATAAATTATAGTCTTCGCAAATGAGCTGCATTTCACTGATCGCGACTGTCAATGGCCCCGACTGATAGAGCAGTTAAGTGTCATAAACCCATTTGCGTAGCGGTCACACTGTGACACAGCTAGTACTTAACTCTGATCTGACCTTCAACGCGCCGCTTAATGGCGGACGACTCGTATCCGTCATCAGCATGGGAGCACTCCGATGGAAACGACCTACAAAGCGGGCCAAGCTCGCATCATCATCCCGCTCAACTGAATGAGTCTCGAGACTCAACATCGCCCGTCACAAATGGCTCTATATCCTTACCACGTTCGAGCAACGACTCGGCCGGCCGTTCGTGGCGAGAGAGCCCACCGACTACCGGCGACAATCGCGCGCCCACAGAAACCGCCACGCTGGTCGACCCAACTTTTGACGAAAGCGTACTCAGATCACTGTGCGAATTGGACGTGCGTCGATTTATTGCGCGCTTGGCTGAAGATGTATCGACTTGTGGATCTAGTGTGGTGTGCCTTTACTTCTGGACCGCATCAAGCAGGGCATGGTCTCATGCCGGGTGCGCCGGCCCGCCAGCATACGTGTTGCATTCTAAAGAATGTTTACAGGAAGCATCCGCGTTCTTGAAGAAGCGCGCCAACCTCGAAGAAGATTACGGCAAGAACATGCAGAAACTCGCTCGGTCAACTGCGGATGCATATGCCACGAGCGATGGGAAAGCAGGGTACGTCATGTTTCTAGTCTCATCTCTCTTGTTCATGACCCATCGAAGCTCTTTCGTGTCCTCTTGGCAGTCGGCTTTGAAGATCCATGAGACGATAGGAGAGAATCGTCTGCGATTCGCCTCGAGGCTCAATGAGATGAGCGAGGAGCTGTCTACACTGGCAAAAGAAGTGGACAAAAATCGTAAACAGGTTCGTTGCCTGATCTCTGTGCTATCTGCATCTCACCTTGCTTTAGACCAAGGATCTGGCGACACGATACGAACGAGCTCTACAAGAATCAGAAGCACTAACGGACAAGCATAGGACACGTCTCGATTTCATGTCCGAAGAGCTGGAACGCGTTCTGCTGCAGAAGGAAGGGGAATCAGTGAAGGATAATTCCATCCAGCCACGACAAGGCGGCGCCGGCGGGAAACGAGCGATAGGCAAAGCGGTCGCCAAGGGTGGTCTGTTACTGAAGGGGAAGAATCCGGGGAACGTAGGCTCTGTTCACCTTCAACAACCCGTTCAATATGATTGACGTGTGCCCAGATTCAGAGGCAAGAAGACGACATCCGTTCTCGAATGTCAACTGCGTCGGATGCATACCGGAAAGCCGTGACCGACACACAAGCCATGCGGCAAGAGTACTTTAATTTTCAATTGCCTCGAATTCTTCGAGTGCGTATTTGACGATTCTATCATGTGGCCGGGATACTCAGAGTTTTCATTAGGCTCTCAAGGAATGTGTTGACGAGATGGATTTGGGAACGCAGTACCATCTGACAAGATATGCCTTCCTGTTCGAGAGCACGGTTCTCAACGATGGGACCACCCTTGTCCCATCGAACGAAGACGGTCTGTTGAGCTCCATAGCACTGTTGCTCTGCTGATGCTGCCGCGTCTTTCTTCTCCAGCTTCGTCAGCTTCCGGGCTGAAGGCTACCCTGGAGCTGATCGACAACCGAGGCGACTTCAGGTCATACATGCAGAATTACGCATACGCTCGCGGGCCTATCACTCCCCGTGGACCGCGACGCGAAGGTCCCCCAGAAGAAGGATTTGTGCGTACGGTGGCATGTCCGCATCCCCCACGAGCTAATCGGAGCATCCAGCTTCCACCGTTGCCAACACACCATTCTAATGAGAAGCCTCATGCCCCGCCCAACCTCAATGGCAACGGCGCCAATCCAGTGCAAGACCGGGGTCAACCAACATTCGGTGTTGATCTTGCGGATCAGATGATGAGAGATAATGTGGAAGTGCCGCCCATCATGGAGAAATGCTGTCAGGCCATCGAGAAGTATGGCATCAAGCTGCAGGGAATCTACAGACTAAGCGGCACAGTCTCGAAAGTGGCTAACCTGCGCCAACGTTTGGACAAAGGTCCGTGTTCTCGTCTGTTTCCTGGACCTTGGCCTGCAACTTTATATGCAGATCTTGAATCTGTGGATCTGGATCATAACGAATGGTCTTCAGACATCAACAATGTGGCCAGTGTGATGAAGATGTGGCTGAGAGAATTGCCGGACCCGCTCTTGACATTTGAATTGCAACAAGGTTTCATTGATGCCGCTAGCAAGTTCCAATCTTTCTGTTTGTTCGAGCCCGAAATGACCGGTTTCAGAAATCGAGAATGAAAGGCTGCGGCATATTCGACTGCATGAGCGAGTCAATGACTTGCCAGACGCCAATTATGCCACACTCAAGTATTTTATGGGCCATCTCCATCGGTGCGTGTCTAATTTTAGTGAGGGCGGTGCCGTTGAGTATCAATTCAGCATCAACCAACACGCGCAGGAGAATTCGATGTCTGTACAGAATCTGGCCATCGTCTTCGGGCCGACCCTATTTGGTCAACTCAAGCCCGGTGCTGCCAACAATTCCGAAGGTGGGATGGCGGATGCTAGCTCGCAGAATCTTGTATGTGCTTGTTCTCGACTGCTGAACGGATGAGCTGACATCCGCAGGCGATTGAAACCATTCTTATGCACTACCGGGACATTTTTGTAGATGAAAGCGATGGATAGAATAGTTCTGGTAACTGTCATGGACGTTTCGCTATTTATTCGAGCATCTGTACGGCACTGTTACATTAGCGCACGCAACCTGGAATATCAGAGGCCGAGGCGGCCAGTACCCATGACGCATGCCCATCGTACGACCATGAAGAGCCCGACGGGAAGAGAATTCGTCTCAGCGTGGGACAAACACGGCACCACTCTGCGCAGAGAGCAGCCTCAGAAGCCGTGTTGGCCTGTCTCGTGGCTTCGGTCTGAGCGGGAGCCACGAGTTCGGTCGGTGACAGGTCAAATAGAACTAAATGACTGTATTTGCTCAGGACTGCCGATAGCCCGGTGAGAAGCGTCTATTCCTTTGCAAGGTGTGGTGAGACACCTGGAGAACGGTCGAATCACAGGGAAATGCACTCACGATTCCTGAAAATGCGTAGTGCAAAGTATGTCGCAGTGCGAGCCGGACCTTCAGCGTCTCGATCGTGCTGAGATAACTCGGTATGTCGCGGAGAAGCATCGGTCGCACTTGCATCCCCGACAGATCGAGGGCTTTAAGCGGGACAGAACCGAGTCCGATTCTGGAGAGGATCCGCCTGTCCACATCGGAATCCTGCCCGATCAATGCGAGTGAGTCGACTGGCCTGCCGGGAAGCACACTGGCCGCTGCTTCAGGCGATCCTCGGAAATACGACAGTATGGGTAGCCCGTCGGAGTCCAGCGCCAACGCCGTCTGGTGGTCCGATAACCGAAGCTGGTTCAATGAGGGGGAACCCTGGAGAAAGGCGGGCAGAATATCGGTGTACGTCTGCGATTGCTTGGTGCACTGTGCGCCCAGAGAACAATACCGGAGGCCGGAGAACCGGCATCCCTGTATCAGACGCTCGATGGCGTGGATGGGCTGCCACGGTATCGTCACCAGGTTGGCGGGTCCAAGGAATATCTCCAACACCTCGAGAAAGACAAGGCCACGCAATGCTGTGCAGGCTTGTATGCATGATTTCGTGAGGTCCTGGACCGATAACGCCCTAAAATCGCCCTGCCACCGGATCTGCAAGCGTCGGATATTCGGCACGAGATGAGTACGCTGTAGGATCGACTCGCAACACCGGAGTGTTCGGATGGGCAAGCGAGATGCGTCTGACAGGTCGTCCATGATGTAGATAGTCGAATAGAGCAGCCTCTCAGCAACAGCATTGAATCGCCGGGAAACGCGCGATAATGCTGCGAGGACAGAAGGTGTGAGATAGTCGAATATCTCGACTAGTGTTTCGTTGGGGAGCGACGCGGCAGCACTAGCCCACGAATTGGCACGCAACATCTTTCGCTTCAAGGGTTTAGTGAACGGTTGAGAGGATGGAGAGTTGGGAAGGAAGCGCTGTGGTTGCTGTTCTTTTTAAGCACCGGAGAAACTCCGGAAGTAGAGAGTGCAGGGAGATTTTCGGCGGCGTCGAGGGTAGAGTGGCGTCGGCTGGGGATCTGAAATGTAGCCAGGGGTTGTGCGTGATTAGACGGTGAGCGGAAATTACAGCCCCCGTGGCCAGACAGGCACTGACTACAACCGCTCTGCCCGTTACATTCACTCCAATAAAAGTCCGGTATTCGGCTACGGGGTCGGTTCGTCGTTTGCGCTCGCGTAGACGCATCATGGTCGGAGAAGCCATTGGTGAATATGTTGGTTGGCGGGTTCTTTCTTCTTGAGTTCCTTGGTTCCTCCCGAAATCGTAGGGACCGGTCACGCGTGGGAAAGCCGCCAATCGGTGGCAGTGTACAGTATACGAATTAGATAAGATAGTAGCTGTCAGAATCTAGATCTAGAGAATAAATGTGGTAGCCCAATGTCTAATGATCCCATGCCCCTGTTTGTGGAACTCAAAGTTGCGAACATCACGAGATATGATCACGGCGTGGCTGTTTCTGACTGTAGGAAAGAATGCGCGGTATTTGTGTATCGGCAGCTGATTCAGCTGTTGTGCCATGCGGCGCTGCGATGGAAGCAGCTTTGGCTGCTCCTTCAAGCCTGTAGTTGACTCCTTCGTGGACACAGGTTCTGGCTCTTCAATCAAGTCAATCACAGCATCCTCCATCTGGCGCTCCAGATCAGCGATGACCGCAGCAAGTCTCGTAGAAACGTTCTTTTCGTCGCTGTCCAGCAATCGGATACGTGCCCGGGATGACCGCGCAGAGAGCGACAGACGTAGCAGGGCCAGCGTCATGAAGGTAGGAATGAGCAGCGGAAGTAAGGTGTAAACAAGCTAGGCAAAGATGTGAGTGGAAACCTAATCAACAGCGCGGAGAAAAACACACCAGATTGAGAGGGAATCGGAATTGTAAAAATGGGGGGAGCATGGGCGCTTTCAGAGACTTGAACCAACCAGGAGAAAAGACAACAGGCTTCGACGGTAGAACGGGAGGTTCTAGTGGTGTTGAATAGGACTTGATGAGTGGACTAAACTCTTCATCCAGATCTCTAAGCTTGATCAGAACATGATTGAAAGGTTGAAGATAGTACGACTTGCACGTTCAATCCTGTGGCAGTCATCGTTACAAAAGGGTCGTGCAAGTCAATGGCCGCTGTCACGTAAGGCACGGTCATATCGTTCAAAGCATTCGCATATATCTGAATGCTTTTGAATGAAGCGAGGGCCTGATAGAAGATACGGTCTGAAGAACATGTTTGAGAGAAGTCATCCGCAGCGTTTCTGACGACCAACCTGGATCGGCCATGACTTCAAGCAGAGGCCGTCCTTTTGCTGACCATTTATCCACGCAGTAGAACTGTTCACCAGTCCGAGACAAAAGCTTCGGGCCCAAAAACGATGCCATGGACGAGAAAAATGACGCATATCGGACCAGACCGATGTGAGGAGTCGCAAAGGTGTTGAAGTTGATTGGCGCTATGTGGTCGAAAAACGATCGCTGTCGCAAGATGCTGAAACCCGTCAATTCACATAAAATATGACTGAGGCACTGCTCACCCGATAACATAGCGGGATACCAGACCTCCCAAACTGTAACCTGTGATGGAGAACTGGTTGACTTTGCGGCCATCTGCATCCAACTTGGCCACTTCATCGTAGATCTGCAGAAAACATGAATATTCGAGGGATTGGACAAGAAGGCGATATCATGCATACCTCTTGAGCGACCCTCTCCGCGCCGAGATCAATTCCGTCGTACGTGTTCTACAAGGGCTATGTTAAACAGATCGAGCGACACTGAAGCGCTATACACATGCTGATGCGAAAAGAGGGAACATTAGCTATGTTTCTGAATACAGCGCCTGTGGGAATACACACCCTCTTCGCTGTTGGTCTTCGATACGAGAACGTGCAGCTCGGGATGTGTTTCCGTTATTATGCGATGCAGCTCGGCGAGATGATTGGGGTTTCCCCACATTCCGTGCACGAGCACGAGAAGGTGAGTAGACATGAGGTGAAGGGTGGATTGGAGAGTTGTAGCAACAGCCTGTAGGAGATCATCCTGCTTTTGTGCCGAATACACTGCCCGACTGACACGTAAAGGTGATGACGATCACCGCTCAGCCGAAGATGACGACGCGTCAAGACCCTACGTACCCTGGTATGTTCGGATCACAATCGGCGTGATGATCGATGGAAGCCGAGATTGGCCGGTCAGCCGGCTTGCTCCGGTACTCGATGCATGAGACGACTTGATGAAAGTACTGTCTACAGCCTGTGTACAGCTATGAGATGTGCAGTTGATGCAGGATGCGCAGTTGATGCAGTATGAGTGAGTGATGATGGGGAGAAGGAATGTAGCAAATACAGTACGGGGGTTGAACCCGAGATGAGATCTAGATATACAACAATGCAATGGGGAGAAGATCAGGGCGTTTGCGCGAGGTATTCCTCTCCGGCTTGGAAGAACGGCTGGAAAATGGCCTCTGGAGCGTGGAAGTCGTTGTGCACCACATTGACCAGGAAACAATCGTCCATCAGCTCAGTAATCAACTTTCTGGAAGCGGACTCGGGCTCATAAACATTGGCCCACTGCTGCCCGAGCTCATATGCTTCGTCCTGCAGACAATGAATGCACATTCAGGACCCTGAAGTAGACAACACACCTTCCAAGCCATGAAGCTCACTGCCTCGACAATAGTGGGCTGCACGATCTCCTTCCCCGGGAAAACACCCCATGTGACAGCATTAGGTCCGTCAGAATGGGTGTTCGTGCGCAGGTCGCCGCGTTTGTTGATCACGTAGTACGTGATGTTGCTGTCCCGTTCGATGTGCGCAAGCAGTAGAGCAAGGAGAGGAGCGCTAACGAAAAACTCTAGATATGCCTGTGATCGGTGTGTGAGAGAGAAACGTGTTTGCCGTGCGGAATCACCAACCTTCTGGTAGACATAGCCGTTCCTAGGTCCCCATCCAAATACAGCGTGATCACTGCTGGCCCCATTGACAGCAGGCTGAGAGTTGATCGTGAGGAAGCCGTAACGGTTCATGCGGGCCAGTTGTTCAGAGATGATGGAGGTTTCTCCGGCAGGAGCCTGGTCCGACCATGGAAGGGCTTTCAAGCTCTTCGTACAAAACCGGGCAAATAGATCAGTGATCTGAGCGAACTCAGTAGGCTCTCCCCAGAGTTTGAGTGCGTCCTCTTTCTATTCATTCATCTCCTTCAGATCGGCAAGCAGAACAGCTTCAGGAAAGACGAACTGATTGTTTGAGCCAAACGCCGTAACCATCGAGATCACCGTATGCCGGACTGCGAGAGTCACCGAAACGTCCGTTCGGGTACTCGTCCCAGTTCTCCGTCCGTGAGATGTAGGACTTTGTCCTATTGGCCCAGAAGATGGGACGGATGGTCTCTGTCCGCCTGTTCGGTGTGAGCGACTGTCCGGTATCAGCTCAGCTTGTGTTCAGTCAAAAACGATTGCAAATCAACGCACCTGCCGCCAAGGCAAAGGTTTGATCGTCTCCACGCGAGGAACGAGGTTCAGCTCCTCGAGGAGCATCTTTGTGCCCTTTTCGAGGTTCATGGTGTAGAAGTGTAGTCCGTGGATTCCGAGATCGGCGTCAAGGATCTTGCGACACATCTCCGCTACAAGCTTCGTACCAATCGCCCTCACGGTCTCGTCGTCGTTTTTGTGAGGTTCCAATGCGTCCATAAAGTGCTGGGGGATCTTGATTTCCGCGAGACTCGTTGCGCGCATAAACCCGTTCCACGTCTGAATCGGCGCGATGCCGGGGACGATGGGAATAGTGATGCCGGCCGCACGGACAGCCTTGACCCAGGCAATGAAGATGTCGACATCGTAGAACATTTGGGTGAAGATGAAGTCAACGCCGGCCTCGATCTTCTGCTTCAGCCACTGTAACTCCTGCTGGAACTCGTCGGGTGGAAGGAGCTGATGTTGAGGGAATCCGGCGACAGCGATATCGAAGTAGTCACCATAGTCCTTGCGGATATGATTTACGAGGTCGACACCGTGTACGAAACCCCCCTCGACTGCCTCCCAGGCCTCTTTCCCTGCCGGAGGATCCCCTCGTAGCGCAAGAACATTCCGGCAGCCCGAAATTTTTGCTTCCTGTTGAAAATGTGAAGAGGAGGCCTATGTACGACGTACGACACACGCACCCTCAACGCGATGTCCACCTTGGCCGCCGGCATGTTTGTGCAAGTAAGATGCATGCACGTCTCGATCCCAACGAGGCTCTGACACGTCTTCACCATCTCGGCCGTAAGATCGGAAGTCCGTCCGCCTGCATTCCTGCACATCGAGCGATGGATTCGTCAGTTTTCTGACGCGTTGTCGGAGTCAAAAAACGCGTTTCGCACCAGGTGATATCAATGAACTCTGGGCCCAATGCGCGCATGCGCTCTATACGATCGAGCAGATTCTGGAGGCCCTGTAGAGAAAGTGTGTGTATCAGCAGACATTACAACAAGGCGATGGCCGTGAGGCGGACCTGAGCAGTGCGAGGCGGAAAGTACTCGAAGGACCACCAAATCTTATTTTCCTTGTCGGATTGACGAATTTTTTGGGTGATTTTCATGTCGGGCGGTGGCAGGGAGATGAGACAACCGAGGCGTAACGTTTAATGAAATTATTAGAGGCTGCCTGACCAAAGCTGCGTGTCGTAGAATAAAAAGGTGGTTCGATCAAGACCGTGAATCAGCCCAGTGATCTGACTCAATTTTGTGGCGACAAATGATTATCGAAATGGTACCATATAAATAATCAACGAACGTGGTGAAGCTAGATCTTGTCAAAGCCGTACAAGCGAGCGAGGATATGGCTGAATTGTCCAAATATATCCAATAAAAATACAGAAACGGCCTGCACCGCGTCTAGTTATGACTCGTAAGGGACCAGCTGTCCAACGGCACGGACGGAGGCGTCACGAGCTTGGTTCCGTCGTTCCACTGGGGACTAAAGAGAACCTGGAGGTTGTATGTGCCAGCGGGCAGTGTGATAACTAGAACAGTCACTCCGTCGTTGGCCTGGTCTGGGATCGGGGGCGTGACATCAGTTGGTAGTCGGACCGCTTGAGCTGTGGAGAAAGTTGCCCCAGACGGCGCGTTCAGCAAAGACACATCCATGGTCTTGCCATCTAGAGCCAGCGACGCCGTCGTTCCGGATGTCGTCACGGTCGCATTAGTGTGCATACGCCATTGGACACTCGCGCTGGCGGTGATCTCGTCCTGGAGAAGGACTTGCTTGCGGCCATTCAGCAAACGAATACCCCGCTTCATGGATGTTCTAAAAACCATCAGCATACAATCGAAAGCTCAAATATAGCTGGACTTACGCATTGAAGTAAGCGGTCGTCATATCTGTCGTGAAGAAAGCAGTCGAAGTGCTGGGAACAGTGTAGGCAGTGCTGGGTCCTTGTGTCTCGTTGGTGGTTCCGTATTGCACAGTGGGCTTCGCATTCACATCCTGGTTCGAGGATCCGACAAAGATGGTGTTCTGGCCCTCAGTCATCTTTCGGTAATACATCCAGCGCTGAGAGTCCTGCGCTGTTTGATGCAAGGGATGAGATCATATCAACTTCGGATAGGTCATTGACTGACCATCGGTGCTGAAGTATCCAGGAGAGTTGTAGTCCCCATCGCCGAGCTCGCCGGCCCATCGCGTTCCAAGAGCATCGAGAACGAATGTTCCGGTGTCCAAGTCGTTGTGAGTCTGATGGTTGAGAATCGTACCAGCCTTGACACCGACGAAGACAGCATTGGGATCGGTCCAGCTGCTGCGCATCGACATCCATTGATCCGTCGAGTTGTCGAAGAAGTGGTCGAGCGCAAGTCCATCCCAGAATACGCCCTGAATCTGAGGGTTGTACCAGAACATGTTCCAAGGATCTGCTGCATCCGGATAATCACGCTGGAACAGAGCATACTGAGGCTGGTTGAACACATTCGCGTAGAAGATCAGCGAGTTAGCCGTCGCGGTGAACTTGTTGGGACCCGTGTCGCCGTAGTTGAAGACAGTGGTCGCACCGGTCCCATACATGTGGAACATTCCCGTCTTCCAAAAGTCGGGGTTCACCGTCGTCAATCCATAGTCAGAGCCGGTAGCGCTGATGAGAGACGCTGCCATCTCAGAGTGCCCGGTGTTGCCAAAGTACCAGTAGTCGTTGGTTTCGCTCCACGTGCCATCGTTGGCCACAGCAAACGCACAGTGCGCTTTAGCGTTGTTCACAGTCAACCCAAGCAGCTGCTCGGCGTGACCGGTGGTGTCATCCCCGAGAATGGCAAGGGCGGCCATGGTGAGACCGTTGTTGCAGACACAATTCCAGTTGCCATCGACAGCATTCCACCAGCCAGTGTATACAGAGCTGTTCGTGTACCCCTGCACACCAGGCTCCAACCCGTACTGGATGAGGGAGGTCCGAATCTTCGACTTCTGGTCGTCCGTCCACATATCATACAGCCAGTCATAGGCAATACCGAACGCAGCAGACAGCTCGGCTGTATCCAAGAAATGCGCAGAGTTCCATGGGTCGACAGTAGGGCCCCAGGGCTTGGTGCCGTTTCCGGCAGCATTCTGTTCATGAGTCAGTTGGGTTGGTCTCATACGCATGGTAGATAGGGATTCACTTGAAGCTCTTCCCAAGTCCGATCCACCCAGTGAGAGTTGTTTGTCATGCGATACACATACGAAAACGCCTTGACACGCTGCTTGATCATACGACAAACATCAAGGATACCGCTACTTCCGCTATAGCACATAATTGGTCGGCATTGGCTTTCAATGAGATGTGGGAAGCTTACTCCATGAAATACGGGACAGCAGGGAGGGCGTCATATTGGGAAGCATTGAGGAAGATGCTGTGATTCCAGCTTGCCAAATACGGGTCTTTGGCGATCAGTGCGGGAAGGGCATCCCACTTGTACTTGGGCGCAATCAACCTCGGTCGGTCTAGTGCTGGATCAGTATCGCAGGCAGAAAATATGAGTGAGACGGCGAACCCGGGCGGACAGAAAGAACGGAAGGAGTGGCGGGAGCAAAAGAGTCAGCGGGCCATCCAGCAGCGGCGGCATTGAAGGTGGGAGTGGTGTATGATGCCGTGTTGGTCGAGGAGGGGTATACAGGTATCATGAACAAGCTGTTCGTTGCGGTGGCGAGGACACCGGCTGCTAGCTTGGCGCTGGCACTCGCGGCGGCAGCAGCAGAGGAGGAGGATGAGGAGGATGTCGAGGAAGCCGAGCCAGATTTGTGACGAGACACAAGGATGCCAACGACGACTCCAACAGCGATGAGAATGACAAGAATAGGGATCCCAACTTTGATCCATTTGCTCGTGCGCTTTGGTTTAGCAGGAGCAGGAGTTATATAGCCAGTCGACTGGTAGAAGGCAGGGTCCTCATTCTGGTACACCTGGTGATTATGACTGCTCTGCAGTGGATTGTAGCTCATTTTGCCGCGAGGGCGGAGGAAAAGAAAGGTTGGAGTCAAGGAGTGGAATCAGGGGATCACGGTAACCGTCAAACTGAAAGCGAACAAATAGATGCTACACAGGATGCGCAAACAAAACACAATCGTGGCTAGTGCTATAAACAGAACACGAAAAAATAGACGGCCTTACCAGATCCGGCTGGTCAAATATAGCCCTGTCCCTTGCGCTCGTAGTCCCGTGCACGAGCCCGTTGTTTGCGCAAATCTCCCATCACTTGCTGCCCTATAAAGGACAAGTCGACTGAAGCCGCTGGAGACACTGATGCAGGTGCCCTAACTGAGGGTGTTCGTTTATATGGGCGCGAGATGGAACTGGTTCGGACCGGAGTCTTGGGAATCTCTTGTCTCGCGGTCAAATGATTCTCTTTCTCGAAGACCGCCAAAATAGACGGGCGTTTCTTGTCAGCATTGCTCGGAGTACTCCCCACGGAATTTGACCGTGAAAGATGCCGGCGCGTAGGCAGTTGCGTATATGCGTCTCGCGTGGACAGCTGTCGTGTCGGTCGAGAATGTGAACGAGGTCCTCGTGGGCCTCTTGGCGTTGTCTTGTTGTATTGGGGGGTCGGGGCAGTGAGAATGACTCTGGTTGGTCCCCTGTCCATGAGGACGTGAACGTCATTCGGTTCTTTCGGCTGACACTTCAGCTCGGTCGGTGTCATAGGACGAGTCGAGTGGATTTCGCCAGAGGGCGGCTCTGACTTGTCGGGGACAACCGCCAGAGGCCTCTCGTCTTCTAGCATCCGCGATTGTCTTTTCTTTTGGTTCAGGAAACCGAAAACTTGAGACGCTCGTTGCGGTGTCTTAGGGTCCAGAGTGATGTAGGGGCTGGGGCCCTTCAAAGAACGAGGAGGTGTGTGCGACATATCACTCGCTTGAACTTCTGTGGATGACATTCCAGCCACTTCAACTAGCATCGATGACGCGTCTGTCCCGAAGGAATCGTTGTACTGGTGAAGGACCGTCGTTTGGTTCAGACTTGCATCAAAGTCGGGCGTCACGATGCTTGCTAGCGACGGTGACGATGATGCGCTGCTTTCTGACTCCCTGTGAAAAGCCAATTCAGATCCATGCTCGAGGCACCCTTCTAGAAAACGCACGCAAGGAACCGCTCTGCCCAAGAGATGTCTCCTTCTCGCGAACTCCCGTCACTGCCAGACGCCAGACTGGGAGACGGATTACCCAGCAGCTCGCGTAATGTCGATCCGCCCCGCTTAGCTTGAGCCCGCCCATGCTTTGGTGGTGAATTGGAGAATGTATGCGCGGGGAGCCGCCCATGTTCGTCATACATGTCAAGCAGACTTGCGACAGATGGATCGGAGCGTAAACCTAGTAGCTGATTGCTTCGACTGTCTTCGTTCAGGTCCCGATTCGCATTGGGGAATTCTGTGTGCCCAAGGCGCTCGCGTCCGTGGACGGTGACGGTGTATGATCCACGCGTAGTACTTGTAACGCTGCTTGATGCACTAGATAAGCTGACTGTCGAACTGGCGGGGGTCTGCAAGATGTGGTTAATGGGGTGGGCTGTGCGGGCCAAGCGCAGTCAGTAGGTAGAATGACCTAGAATCTAATCCAACGCACGAAGAGGGGGAAGCGTGTTATAATCGTACTCTCTGACGACAGCATAGCGTGCGGATGATGACCGCAACAGTTGGTTGGCTGCTACTTCAGCCGAATCGTCGGCGGGGTGGGTCATAGTATTTGGACGAGTTTCGAAGATGCATTGGAGTGGGGGAGTAGAATGGTGTATTGCGCCCGATCTACTCTTCTTCTTGTCCTTCTTGTTTCCGATTGAAAAGAAACGTTTCAAGCCTTTGAATGCCATGATGGTGCAGCGCAAACTTTCATTTGCTATGGGTCCTTGCTCGGACTGCAAGGTTGAATTTCGTCACGTGCCATAACATCACTGATATCACGGATACTCGGCAGGTGCCGGCCGCAGATCCACGCCCTTTCGAGCCTGGCCGCGATCACGATAGAGCCAGTCCTGCGATTTCTTACGCTTGGCTGCCCAACACAAACATGGAATCTCTATTCTCACGCTCTCTCATGTTGAAGAACTCGGGGAGCACAGGTGCTTTCGGTCCACAAGGACAGACCACTCTCATAAACAGGATTTAGCGCGCGATCTTTGTATGTTAGAACGAAATCTTCTCTCCCACTTCAAGTTGGCTCTACTGTTGTCTCTGCTGTCCTCTTCCGTGCTTCTTCGTGCGCGCTTGGTCCCCGAAGAGAGCCGTCAGCCTCAAACTGGCATGTCCTCGACCACCGCACTCGTGATCGCATGCCTTCAATTCGGCGCTGCGTTGGCCGCGATCATCGCTGGAGTCTATGAATACTACTGCGGCTACAGGGATATACGGAATACGCACGCCTTCTTGATGGCAGTCAAGTGCGAGCATCGTCCCTTCGCTGCTGTCTCCGCTTATCGTCTCTACAGACCGCATCTTGTTATCATCAGTGTCGTTGCTGCTGTCGTTTTCCTTACATGCATCATTGTCCTTGCAGACCCTTGACTTCGGCTACTTCTGTGACGCTTGTCTCGACCGCTCGAACCAGGCATAGCCAGGCTGCATGAGGCATTACTGTATGTGCAGTCAGATATAGTCATCTTACCTGATTCAGGAAGCTATTACCACTGCCACAAGATTTAGCGATGCGTCGTGACTGTGTATCATACGCGTCGCGGGCGCCTGCGGTGAAGATGAGATATCTAGCTAGCACCATTTGTATAGCCGGCCACAATAGCATAGCACTGGGCGCAGCTCGGCGGACGAGTGGTCGGACGTACAGTATGTCATCATGAAGCGCTTTTGGCGCCAAAAACGGAAGGCGGTGCTCGACACCAGCTTGACACAAACCCTCACTCGCTCTCACCCATGGAGGCTGGAACAACTCCAATCTAGCTTCGGTAGCCTCA